AGGGAGACGCTATAGACTTTGGATGTCTGCAATGGCCATAGACAATTTGAGGAAGTGGTGGGGGAAGTGACGTATGCCGTAAAGCAGTCGAGTTTTGTAGTTCTTTTTGTGCTCTGGTTACTACCCGAAACCCGAAATTACACAGTGCGAGTATGGCAGACGTGTCATTTAACCTATTGTAAGTCGATGTACCATCACAAGGGTCTTGGAAATATATTATGAAGGTTGAAAAGTTCCATAGTGTTGCTTTAACATTTGTTATTTACATGGTTACATTATTATATAATTGTTTTATGTTAATTGTTTACTTCTTTATAGTAGATACAAGACAGTGGATGTTCTTCTTTTACGGCCATGTTTCAAGTGAGATTTTCAAGTGACATCCTTTCTCTCTCTGTGTCCTCTCCATCACCGTCCCCTCCCTTGACTCATCAGCATGTCCCCAAATTTCCACTTCAGTCAGTGGGTCATATGAATCAACCTCCTGCATGACTCCCTCGATTCCACCCCTCTCTCTCTCTCTCTCTCTCTCTCTCTCTGGGTAAAATACTGTTTGATCCCTCTCTCTCTCTCTCCATCAATAGGCCTCATTCATTCCCTCTCTCCTGCTGCATGCCATCGGACCCCCTCACCATCCCTATTCATTCCAATGAATTTTTTTTTCCCTCCGTGAAGTTTTCCGTGACTTCTCAAATAGTTAAGTACCTGTTCTCTCTCTTTTCACATCATCTTTTTCCATAGTCATTTTCTGTCTTTCTCTTTTCAGTCTTTCTCCCACACTTGTTTGTTTCACCTGTAGTTAGTTCTATGACACTGGACATTAAGCTATGATAAATATTATATTATACTTAACATTAATCTGAGCCAACAAAAATAACCATTGTGAACATTATATATTCATATTTATGAATGGCTTTTTTAATAACAGCTCTAACAAAATATATTTCATCTGTGAGTTATTTTTATTTCAGATGTTTCTCCTTTGAGGAAATAAAAATGTTTGTACCATAGGTCATATTATTTGTCCGGGGAAAAATGTGATGAGAGTTCATAATGAGATCTCTGACTCTTGGTTGCAGGCTTTGCAATATTAGTATTTTGGCAAACTTGTAAGATCTCTTTTGAAACTCTAGAGAAGACGGGTCTTTTTCTCAAGAAGAAAATCTGAGGTGAACAAAGTTTTTTTTAGGAGAAACTATAGCATTTCTATTCTGGAATTTCCATTACATGAACTCTCAATGTATGTTCCATTCTTCTATACTTCTGTAAGTAGCCATTTAATATTGTTTAATAGTCCCCATTACTGTGACGATTGAAGTTGTTGAAGAAAATTTGCTTAATGACGCATAATTGTGCTAAATGATCTGAGGCGCTTTCAGGCAGCCACATTTAGAAAATCAGAAAAATGAGTCAAACCGAGAGCTTACGTGAGTGTTCACGTGTTCGCACATACTATAATAATCTGTGCAACAAGCAAACAAACATTTATTTGTTGGTGCTTTAAACTCTTACTAGCATACCTGATGGTTTGATAGCCATGTGCAGCTCTCATATACAAGCTGGCACAGCAAACATTAAGCTAGCAAACGTTTGCTTTCTTCAGTCTCACCCTTCCCATTTCACAGCCTGATCTGGGGCGTACATGAGGCCGGTTTCCAAAATCACTGATCCATTCTCTCTAGCTCTCTCTCTCATTTTGTGCTCTTATATCTGGGTCTCTTACTGGGATCTCTGTATAGCATAATACAGAGGTACATACATAGCCAATTATTTTCAATGCTCCTGCTGTAACCCTCTACCAACCCAGTCCATTTCCTCACAAACACACACACACACACACACACAAATATACACATGCCAATCTATTTCCTTCCCCCTTCTCCGATCTATTTTGGTGTGTTGTAGTGGGCTAGGGTGTGTGTGCGTGGTTTGCAGCCCTGCCCAGTAAAATACAGACTTTTTAAGGAAGTCTGCAATATAATCTGGTCGCTTTATTGTAATTACAAGGTCCCCATTTTGGAAATAACCAGGCTGTCCGCAAGCACTTGCCGTGTCTGTCTCCAAGGAAAACTTGAGCTTTGCTTTCGCGTGCCCCCCATTGAACTGGTTTGTGCCCAGCATGTAGCCCTATCGGCAGATAATTCATTTTCTCACACTCGCAGCGAATTTAATTTGCTCGCTCAAGATGTTGTCATAAAATCTGTTAGCATGGGTGGCCAACCAAAACCTACACAACCGCATGGTCAGTGGCCTATCGTCAAACCCTGAAATTACTGGACAAATTAGTAGGCTGTATTAATCTGAACAGCTGAACTGACTCAAGGTGGAAAACATCTGTCTTGAGGATTTCTCTGTCAAAGTCCGAGTGGCTTTTTACCTTTTTCTTTCTAATAATAAGATTTATCGGTTTTGCCTTGTACATGGTTTGTACGCGTGCCAAGACATTATGTCAGTCGTCTATTTATGTGAATGTTCTCAAGGTACTTTGCAGTGTTTGAGCTGAAGTTGCGCTTCAGTGTTGTTCTGGATGTAAACTGGTCTCAGGCCATTTCAACCCCCAGCTGTATTTTTAAATCTTCTCAAGGTCCGTGTTCACCTGTACGTCAACTTCTCAATGTCTTAATGTTCACATCCTCAACCATGGTTTCAGACAGACTGAGTGGGCGGCATTTTAATTCAATTGTTTTAGTTGCATTTAGATATTTGACAGTTTAGAGATTTTCTTTTTTTAAATGCTGTTTATGATAAAACTGTATTTATGAACAACAAACTGCTCATTTTATCCTCCCTAGCAGTTAAGTTTAGCATCAGCGCTAATTTGGGGGAAAAAAGCAATAATTTAGAAGATTATAGCACTTTATAAAAGTGCTCTGATTTGCTATTCGAAACCTGGAATAAGACAGTGGGCTTTTCTATTTATTATTTGTTTTATTTTTGTTATTTATTGTATTTGTGTGTATATAAATTGATGCACCAAAAATGTATGCACCTCTTGATGGAAATAACAACATTTATTTCCATCAAGAGGTGCATACATTTTTGGTCAAGATCTTGTATTGACAATGCAAGAGTCCAGCACTCTGTAAAGTCTTCTCCAGCACATCCCAAAGACTTTTGATGGATTTAAGGTCTGGATTCAGAGGTGCAAATTCATGTCAAAATTATTCTTCATGCTCCCTGCCAACCATTCTTTCACAATTTGAGCCTGGTGAATCTACATATTGTCATCCTGGAATATGGCCATGATGTGTCTTCCATGGAAAAGCTACACACACACTCCATCAATTAGTGTTAAAAGAACTGTTGCAAAACATATAGCATGCTAACATAAAAATCACAGCAACGATGATCCAATCATAGACTCTTAAGTATTTTCCTATTTAAATCCAAACAACGATTTTTTTTTTTTTTTTTTTTTGGCTGGACAGTGCGTGTAATCTTCAGTAGTAAGTAGTAATCTTTTCTCACATTTTTAAAAATACCGTTATTCTTTCTCACATTCTCCTTAGGCCTCTCTGTGTCAATGGGAACACCACAGATGTAAAGCATATGATTATACTGTTTTATTATAGAAACGCTAGAGTGCACCAGCCAGACAAAAACGGCCTTACAAAAACACATGCCATGATTGTTTACGGATTGTCTCCCTTAGACCATAATGGGCCACAGGAAATAAGAAGCACTGATTTGAATCACTTTTTTTTTACACTGAAAATTAGAATATCCCTGCAGGGGAAAAGCTCTCGTCAGCTCTTAATAGTGTTGCTAGGAGTTTTAATATTCATAAAAGAACAAAGTGCAGGTCATATTGTGATTAGTGGCTGCTGACAGTATGGTATTTTATTACCAATCAATGGCAACCATTCAAAAAATGTTTTCTATCCATTTGAGGAACCTCAAACTCATATATATATATATATATATATATATATATATATATATATATATGGGTTGTTTCTTTAAAAGCAAAAGCGCTTATAAAAATCTTTGGACAGACCACAGGCGTAACCTAAATAAATAACTGGTTTTCCTTTTTTCTCCCTTAATTTGAAGAACTGCAGTTTACTGCATCTATAGGAGGCAGTAAGAGAGAAAACGGAGAAACATCAACATGAGTTTCTTGAGAGAGAGAGAGCATATGATTACACTCATTTCTTTCTGGCTCTTGTCACTAAAGTATAATCTTAAGGGTTAGCTACTTCTATTACTGTATATAGGCCTACTTTTATGAACTATTTAAAGCTAAATCAAAATACTATACTATAGTTACTATAAATTCTTGTAAATTGAGCCACCTTTGACACTGAGGCTGTGAAAAAGTGGAATGAATTTGAATAAAACAACTAATCAGAATGGGACAGTACGTCGGCAAAACAACTGTGATATCACTTTATTATAGATTTTCACATCATACATGTAGGCTATTACAAAAATCTGCTTTTTGTTCCACGTTGACGAGACGAACCAAATTGCGCGCCATAAATTACAAGTAGAAGGACTGAAAGGCATTCATAATTTGCATACAATAAACATTTTTTCAATAATTGCCTATGACTAACTGAAAAAAAAGTTTTGCTGACAGGGCTAAACGTTCATTTCGTTTCGTACCTGCGTGCGTGGTCATTTGACTAACCGACTAGCCATGAAAAGGGCAGGAAAGACAAAGGGTGTGTGACGTCACGAGCGGATAAGGATCTGATTGGCTGCCGAAATTCTTCATGCCTACGGACCCATCGGTTCTACATGGTTCAGCTGTCTAACAGAAATAAATAGAGAGAAATAAAATTACTGATCTACATGCCAATCGCTGGTACGTCAACATAAAACAACTCATTTGATGAATGCAGATATTTTGGGCCATATAGATCCTTGATGATTTCTTGAAATGCACGTCTGTCGACAAGTAGCCTAACGATCGTGTAGAAAGCCGCAGAAGCCCGTATGCATGACTTTCCCTCCCTCTCTTTTTACTCTCTACCCTCTCATTCACTCTCTCTCTCTCTCTCCACACACACACACACACGCTCCCTCGCATTTCGTGGGAGAAAGTAAGAAGAGGGAGAGAGAAAGAGAGAGATTGAGAGAGAGTGATTTGAAGTCTCTCTCTGCTCTCTCCGCTTTTCTGTTCACTCGGACTCAATGGGGCTCTAACATTAGGGGTTTCAAGCTGTAAAACTGCATATTTATTACCCGTTCCCTTCTTTATATTTAAGTTTTGTACATAACACAGATAACTTATTGAAGTACAAGGTGGGTGTGCGTCTCTTAAGGCGCACCAAGTTCCTTACAGGCTCCCTAAAAAAACAGTTACTGAGAGAGAAAGAACGAAAAGCTAATTTTGAAATTGTCCTGCCTTGTAGTCCAACCAAACCGGTCAAAAAACTTGGGAACTATGGATATTCGGAAGAAGCGGAGGCCGTGGTGCATGGAGACTTCGTTCGTGCTCCTCCTGTGCCTTACTCTGGCACAAGCAGGTGAGCGTTTTGCTTTTTGGGATGTTTATGGGATTTGACATGATTTATGTACACCTCAATACAGCATTTGGCGTTGATGCGCTTTTACGCACCATGTGCTAAACGGTGAGATTAGGTGACTAGCTGTTGATGCTTCTATGTTTTTATAAAGTATCTTTAGGTGGTTCAGTTCTCAGTTATGTTGTAGCCTACGTTTAATTTTGTTGATAGTCTAGCTATATCCTTGTGGATGTTGTTCACTTTTGGTGAGCTCACATTGGTAGGTTTCGTTGGTTCGTGTCCCTTCAGGTAACATCATTCGTTTATCTTGACAGAATTTGTCAAGAGCTGAAATATACACACAAGTATAGGCCCATGAGTTGCTCCAGGCCTCGTTGGCACACCTGTAGTGTGGCATCCCGGCGGGGGCAGAGGATAGGACGGTGCTTCACTGACAGGGTTTCACCTCTTGCTTCGAACTTCATTTCAGCGCGCAGCACCTTGAGGCGTCGTTTGTTGTTGTTTGTGCAAACAATGAATACATCGTGTAGCCTAATCGTAGTTACCCGTGAATGTCAAACGATATTTTTTTTATATATATATATTTTAATATATTATTATTATTATAATGATTAATAATAATAATTTTATTAGGCTAATTGCGGTCCCTTGGGATGCTCCTCGGCATTCAGAACATTTCTGAATGTATCAAATAGCCTATTTCTGAATAGTATATATTCTGAATATTCACTTTATTCTGTCTCTTTGGGGTCTCTTTAAAATAATTTCTCAAATCAAATATTTCAAGTTAATTGATTATTTTTATTAAGTGACCTCTTCAAGTTGTTCCAAGACGTTTGCGACGGTGTCCTAATATCCTGTCGAGTTTGTTAAACATTTTAGCTTAAATGTAGGCAACTATTTGACACCTGTTCCGCACTGTGTATGCTACTTTTATTTTATTTAATTATAAAAAGATCCCCCTTTTTATTTATTTATTTATTTATTTCATTTACAACACCCGACCAGATGCACATTAATAGATTAATATTCATTTTATACAAATAGCTTAGCTGTTAAACAATAATGAAAAACTGCGCTTCATAGTGTCAACCACTACTGGGTGAGTGGCGCTCGAGATCCTGCTGTTTCCAAAGACGTTTTTTGTACAGTAAGTAGCAGTAGACATAATCAGATATAATGTTTTTTTTAATACCGAAATGAGTACAGAGTTGATTCAGATTTAATGTGAGTATATTTGAATTACAAAAAAACGTCAATAACAAAACATTGAATGATATGGCGCGCGGGCACCTAACGTCCCTCAGGCATGGATGTAATTCCAGATTGCTGATTTGATCGCACTTTTTCTCCCCGTTTCTTCCCTTGTGTATTTGGAGGAAGTCTGAATATTTGTGCCTCGCATGAGTGGGTTATTATTCTGCCCTGTGGTTCAGAGAGATGTAGTGAATGAGTTAGTGTCTGGGTGTGTGAGCTCAGTGATATTTGTGTAAACGCACACATCTGTTACACCTGAAGAATTTTCCACAGTATGCCAGTTTTAGGCCAGTGAAAGTTGTACTGAATATAATATTCCTCAGTCTTCTGTTTCTGGTTGATGAATCAAATGTGATTTAAAAATTGCCTGTAAGAAACCAAGTGATGTTCAAAATGGTGAGCCCCAAAATAGTAAACCAAAGGCACTATTTAGGATTTACTTTTATGTCCAAGTCCATCTATTTCTGCTAGTGTCCTCAAGCGTTCAACATTGTTCCATAATGTTGAATTTTGGACAGCAGACAGACTTTTGAGAGCGCCGTGATTTTTAGGTGGGGAATATTTTTTTAACATGGATGTTCCTTCAACCTCATTTCAAAGGCAGCACTCTCAAAGAACAGTCTGTCTCGCTTCTGTTAACCAAAACACCCTCAACCAAATGCAGTGCTGAGGACTGAATGGAGCCACTGTGTGTGAAGGAAATATTCGTGTGTATATTCGTAGCACGTGAGAAAAGACTGTCCTCACGGGTGTGTCCGTCATTCCTGACAGTTTCGTGAAATGAACGTTACTTACAATCCTAATCTTCCCCCTCACTAACTTAACCTTGTCCTGAAGTAAATTTGGAATATGAAGGACAAAGTTTAATGTGTCCTCTTCAGAACCCTTATTAGATTTGTTGAATTTGTTATTTATGTATGGAAAGGGCACAAAAGGGTCACTGTTACCATTGTGCATACTTGGTATTAAACTAATAACTTGTCCTGTATTGTTTGTGCATGAATGATACCTCAAATGAATTGTGGTGAGCTGTGCTGTTAGGTGATCAGACTTATGCTTTTCACCCTGTACATTTATTTATTAATTATTATTTTCCCATAACCGACAAAAAAAAACTAACCCTAGTCATCTAGCTGTAAGATCCGTTCCACACTTTAACCACAACAAGGCCTCAGAAGCCTCACACTTCCACAAATGCTCTGTTGACAACAATACAGTTCCTCTGGTTAAAGAAGCGCCGCTTTGTGGTATGTTTCAAAGAGATAGTTAGTCATCATGTCTTCTAGGTTCAGTCCAAACAAGGGTTCTTTTTTGGCTCGTAGGAGGTCATAGAAAGTTGCCATTATGATTTGAGCGGCCATTAATACCTTAATTAGATCACATGATCGGCTTTGCAGACATGTTTCGTTGTATTATGCAGATAGTTATTCTGGTTTGAAAACATCCAATTAAAATGTATTTACCAGGATTATTGCAGCAGGTTTTATATCCTATCAAAATTTCTGTATTTCAAGGTTAGTTTAAAATGGTCTTTTTTGGAATGCAGACGACTCACCACAAGAGGGCCCAACACATGCTCAAGCTTTTAACTCAACAGCCCCACATCTAAAAGACTCACTGAGCACATAATAAGCACCCTCATCCTTTAGTCTGGCTTTTTTATTAAAGGGAATTTCAACTTTTCTATGTCTCACAGACAGTAGTTGCGCTTGATTTATGGTTGCATCAGTTTGAAGTTGATGAAAGTTGTCTGTTTTCACACTTGTGTGCTTAGTTAGGATCACAAAAGATTATAAAGATGACCAAACTAATTGTCAATAATGACTTTTTTAGACTAATTCAAAAAGTTTGCAAAACTTCGCTATAACCATATTACCTTAGTCTGAGTAATTCTTAGGATATTTCCTAGTAAAGTTTATTCATTTTCTCTGGGTAGTAAATGCATTGGTTTACAGTGAAGGGTGTATACAGTAGCTGTGGGAAGCTCAATCTTTTCTAGTTTACATGATGTTTAATATAGTGGCCGTGTGGTCAGTTTATCCATCCTGGCAGTGCCAAGCAGAGGCGTCCACACTGACTCATGAACCACACAGACTCAGACTTAGAATGTATAAGCAATTTATGGCCTTTGTTGAAGGCAGTTTATGTTCTAATGCAGTTCTTACCAGACTTCCAAGGGGCCCTCCATCTCTAGGGCATGAGAATAACATTTATCAAATTAAATAGCAAAGAATCTTTTGAAAATATGGCCATATGCATTTTTTTTTATTGAATTGAAATGCTTTCTACATACACCACAATTGAATAGACACATTATATAGTCAACAAAAATATAACGGCCTGTTGTTAAGAGGTTTCTTACTGTTTGTTTGTTCTCTAATCGTCTTAAAAATATCATATGGTTTATGCCATATAAAGCACTACATTTATCAGTAATTTGAGTTTCGATTTGAGCAGGCTAATGCACTTGTTTCAGGCTTTTTTTAAAACCTTTCATAAAGATCAAGAAAAATCAACCACAATAACACACTTGGCAATCTGTGATCATTAAATGCTCGTGTGATATATATGTCTCTGTAACCCCATATTATGCCAGGAGTTGGTAGGATGGCATAGTTGTCTGTGTATTATAAATAAATCATAAATATAGAGAGCCATGATCTAAATTATAACCTCTAGACAGGCCTGTACATGCACGCCTAACTATTGCGGTTGGCGGGAAGAGAAAACGAGACAGATTCAGACGACATGATGGATTAATCTTCATGTCTTTTGCATCTTTTGAAGGTGAATTTCTTTGCGGTTTGTTGTCACAGTTGTTGCAGTAGTTTGATACATTCAGAAGTGTCTCCTCCTTAAACCTTTCAAAAATGTTGAACCTTCTTCATCCTCCACTTCATTCTGTGCTGCTTTAAATTGTCCATCTCACTCAAAACAAGGGCATCTTTGTGCGACAGTAAAGGTGAGAGTTGAAAGGTCAAGGTGTCAGGTGGTATGTCTTGCTGGTATTTAGCACAGTTATTTGAAGCTAACAAGAAGGAGAGCCAGAAGACAGTACAGGGTCAAAAAAAAAAAAAAAGAGGAAGAGGACCCGATTCTTGGATCTTCTGGAATGTTCTCTCACATACATTGCATGGTCATGACAGAGCTCTGATGGAAGTTTGTTTAGAAATGTTTGGGTCACCTTGACTGGCACTGGGTTACCGTTTGGAATGTTTGTACTGGGTCTTGTTCATTGAAAGCCATTGTCTCCATGTGTGTGTTTGCAATCTGTGTGAGCATACAGTGTTTGTTTGTTTGTGAATGCTTTGCGAGAGTATCCAGTGACTCTTGGTTTCAGACATTCAAGGACACGTTTACAATCTACAAAGCACACTTCTAGCTAAGCTCTTCTGTTTGTGTTCTTATATCTATATTCAGTGCTGGGAGTTTGGTAGATGCAATAGAAAAAATAGTCTTTTGTAATAAATATATGGCTTAGTAGTAGTGATAATCAGCTGATATTTGGCTATTTTGAGATGATTTGGCCGCTCATTCCACCTGTGTCACTTTGAGAAAGGTTTGTGTAAGATAAATAATCATTCTGTTAAATTTAACGTAATAATGGTTCTTTATTGGCGTCATTGGGTCTATAAAGAACCATTCTGTTCCACAAAAGTTTCTTTATAGTGGAAAAGGTTTCTTTAGATTATTAATATGTTCAAAAAATGTTTTTTTTTAGAACGGTTCACAAAAATGTTTTTTTGGGAACCAAAAATGGTTCTTCTATGACCCCTATTTTGTAACCTTTATTTTTAAGAGTGTAATATCATATTTTAATATATTTTATCAATATATAATCCAAATTATTATTTTGGACCTATTGTAATTAAAGTACTTTTATGTCTTATTTAATTTATACTTGCACTTATTCCTGTATTTGGGAAATGTTTTTTGGGCTTCTCCCTCATTTAATCGGATTTAGCCAAGAAGGCCCAGTGGACATATAGTGCTGTGGTTCAGCTCTCAAACAGTGGCACACATTGTGTATGTTGTCTCTTCTGGAAACCGATACAGTGACCAGAGACTTTCTCTTACTTGTTCATCTTGTTCTCCCAGCATTTAAATAGGTTCACCTTTTGAGAATCAAGGAAGCATTGCATTTTAGTTAGAAGTCCCATAGGGCATTCCTGCACTCTTGAACCTCTTTCAGACTGTTTCCACAGTATTTAATTGAATAATCTCAACTACTTCTCTCTAGCCTATTTTCCTCTTCTGAATATCTGTCTTTGCATGGCTAACTGTGTACACACATTCTAATTAGTTTACATAAGTAGATTTTCAGTCTATAATATGAATATGCTAGTTGGTAAATATAAAATGACATAACTACCCATTGTGGTAACTACACACACCATATTTTGGTCAGTGTGGTTATAGGGACCAAAAATACTGGCAGAGCTTTAGAGGAAAGTACCAGCACTAAAATGAAAGGAAATAAAGGATTTGTCAAGAGCAAGATAGAGTGTATGGAGACAGAGCCAAACATGTTTAACCTCAAATACGTGTTGGAAAAGCATTAAGTCTTGTTAGAGAGTTTAACATAGTTTTAGACAGTTAATAATGTAGTACACATTGTGGTTCGAGCAGATGGCATCGGGATTCACATGAATCCCATATAGAGCAACAGAGCTGCCAAGAGCAATAGGAAGATGGAAACAGACATCAAATTTCAAAGCCTGTCTGTGTGGGGCATTTTGAAGGATTCAACATCTGTTTTGTACGCCACTTTCCAAATACATTATGGGAAATATTTTGAGCTGTGTATTTTTTGGAGAAACAAGCGCATGTCTAAATATAAAGTAGTATTATTTGCAAAGCTCAGACTAAAAGAATGTATGCTGTTGGTGTTCTCTTTGAATCTCGAATCTAAAAACTCTTTCACTCCTGCAGATCCAATCGATGTTTTGCGGGTGCTGCAGTTGCCCTCCCTCCCCGAAGGTGTGCAGAAGGTTCCGGGTTTCTGTACCTCCCGCCGGGCCGGCACACCTGATCATGCCTACCGCATCAATAAGAAAGCCCAGATCTCTGCCCCCACCAAACAACTATTCTCAGGTACATTTCTTTATGAATATCTCATAGTTTTAATACTGGGTTCATAGACACACAATTGTGTAAGGTAATGTTGTATCTATATAAAAAACAACAGGATCTTATAGTGATATGATATGTATCTGAAAGTGGTATTTCAGCATGTGTCTGGAATATGAAGGAATCCAAGAAAGACAAGGCTATGATTTGAGCGAAAGATTGCTCATAATTGAAAGGCTTGAAAGTGCTGAGACTTGTAAAAACTGAAGACTGCATACTTTTTAGATGTTTGTATATATAATTAGGAATTTCATATTTTGATTATTTAGAAAGAATATTTATATATTATATTATGTGGGAAATAATTTTTCAGCTGGGTATTTGGGTTGTAATTCATATTTTTTTAATTGTTTTGTGACAGATTTATTCTCAGACTGGTTTCAAGAGTTTTTATATGGATGTTGTTTTGTCATGCTTAGAAAGATTAGTGGGTCTGGGTGAAAATCATTTGGGACGCTAACATGCAATTACTCCTCTAAAGCAGGATGAGTGCTTTTCAGTGGCTAATGAGACGGTTGCATAGTTAACGCTAAATCTGAATGTTAGTGTCAATGAAATGAGTACAATTTATGCAAGTTGAGTCATGAATCATAGGTTTCACCCAGACTGCAAATGAATCTGTGCTTGAAATAAACTACTTTATTGTCTCAAATCGTCATGTATCAGACTTTTTTTTTCTTTCGTGTAGGACGTTTCCCAGAGAACTTCTCCATTATGACTCTGGTAAAGGCCAAGGCTGGTCTTCAGGCCTTCCTGCTGTCCATCTACAATGAGCAGGGTGTACAGCAGCTCGGTCTAGAGTTGGGACGCTCACCCATCTTCCTGTATGAGGACCAGAATCGCAAACCCGCCCCAGAGGACTACCCACTGTTCAAAGGGGTCAACCTGGCTGACGGCAAGTCAGTAACCAACCCCTGCTGAGCCCCATCAGCCCATCTGTGTCTATAGTTACAGATATCTTATAGATATTGTGCGACGTGTAAATGTTTCTTACAGTCTATATTTCTGCATGTGGCAAACCCACAAACTAATACAGCATCTCCTTTGTGACTGTCTGCCCAGTTCATTCTCATTAAAACCTTCAATATCTGATCTGATCTCATCCTATAGGTGGCACCGCATAGCCATTTCTGTGCAGAAGAAGAACATCACTCTGATCCTTGACTGCAAGAATCGTATAACCAAAGCTCTGCCGCGTAGCAACAACCCAGTCTTGGACACCAAGGGCATCACTGTCTTTGGAGCCCGTCTCCTGGATGAGGAGGTCTTCCAGGTCTGGTACACCTGTGCAATGAGTTATTAAGGACAATTAAGCCAATTTTTTATGCACGAAATGAACTACAATTTATAGTGATATTATAGGCAACTAAAGAATTGTTTAAAGTCACCATGAAATCAAATCAGACCGTATTTACTATTTTAATGCACATTCTGGGGCCAGTTACATAAACATAACTGCTGTGTCTTAAAAAGGAGTTTTGCCAACTAGCAATAAGTTAGGGCTAGGGGTGTAACGATACCCTCATGTCACGATTCGATACATATCACGATATTGAACTCACGATGCGATATTATTGCGATACTTCAAGACATATGGTAAAAGGTTAACAAAAAATGTACAGTTGATTAAAATGCTAAATTTGATATTACATTGTTGGTGTAAATGAATAGGCTTGGACTTGGTGCTGGAAACCCAAAGTACAGGACAATGGTGACACCAGAATAAAAATATTCATGATTCTGAAGCTGAAAATACAGAATTATTTTAGACAAATATGCTTGCACTCTGTCACTGACTAGATATTTAAAATAATGTTGGCCACTTTTTACTGGTAACATAAGCTATTTGACATTATCAGGACCCACAAATATTCCCAGATTGTATTATTATACATTATATTCAACATTATATTCAGTAGTTTAATGTAGTACTGACACTAAAACTCATTTTTTCTCATACAGTATTTTTTATTTTGGGTGAACTATACACAACACATATTGTCACTATCCATAATCCATATTGTTGCATTTTTTTGTATTGCGATATATTGTGACACGATATATTGATACACACCTAGTTAAGGCTAATCAGTCTTACTTTTTGGATTCAAATTAGACCAATGTACCTTTTGATGTAACTGACTTAAAATCTGTCTTGAAGAAAAAAAATGATGACTAACTTGTAAAACTAGTCTAAGCAGTTCCTGTCTTTTTTTCTTTATTTTTCTCTAAAATATGTCACATTATGGACATTAAATGGGTTGCAAATGTAATTTTATGTTGACTTTATACTTATATGACATATTCAGTGAATCACATGTTAAACAGTTCTGACATTTCTAAAACAAGTGGTTCACCAATCACAACACACAGGTCCAGCCGACCAATCAGAGCACATTGCTCTTTTCAGAAGGAGGGGCTTCATAGAGACAGGAACTAAACAGAGCGTTACTGACAGACTGGGAAGAGACGAGCTGCAACAAACCTATTATAGTAGACACCAAAAACAAAAAAGGGCATTATAGGTCCCCTTTAATTTCATACAATTATTGAATCTTGCACATATTAAATGCCATACTATCCCAGTAGGCCTGATTTTGACTCCAGGTTCCAGACAGCAAACTGACATCGCCTCTTTTTCTTTGCTTCTCTCCAGGGTGAGATCCAGCAACTGCTGATCGCATCCAACCCTCAGGCCGCCTTTGACTTCTGCGAGCACTACAGCCCTGACTGTGACTCCCCTCTGCCCAAAGTCCAGTCCCAGGACCCAAACACCTACGTGAGTACCACAGCACATTTTTAAAATGGGGTAAAGCGTCCTGATGTGAGATATATACAGATGGAGTTTCAGTAGTAGCAAGTCTTTGATGGTTAGTTTAAAGTATGTTAATGCAACTCTTGTCAATGCATCATATTTGTATAAGTCCCCAAATGTATGCTTAATGTTTTAGTTTTTTTCAAAAAAGCAACCAAATATTCAAGTCATTAATCATGCCGTTCAAAATCTGCACCTGTATTTGACAATGTAGCAAAAACTCACATCAGAATGCCAGCTAATTATTCATGTTCTGAAAATGATGCACACAAATCTAGATTGTTTATGTTTCATAGCACATTAGTATTATATTACACATACAGTATATAGAGCCCCTGATTTGAGTCAGATATCCACTGCCCTACAATGCATTTTCATACATCCACAGCTCTTCCACGTCATCAAAGGTGCTTTATTCTAATAACCATTTCACTCTAAATGCTGAAACTGCATACAATAGCTTTATTTCTTCTTACAGTATTCTCTTATGTTAGCTTTTCAGATGAATGCATTTTTTTTCGTTCATTGACGTTCTCATTGTGTTTTGCAGTAATTGCTACTCAAACCCATGAGTCTGATGAACAAATGATAAACCATCATGCTTTCATCCGGCCTTTGCTAAGACCCTCATTTCTAGTTCCTACATCTTACTTTACTCATCCATTACTTTTATCTCCTCTCATATTATTCTCTCATTTGTTTTCTTTCCAAAGTCTTCTTTGTTCACTCTTGTCATTTGCTTCATTCTCTTACTGTCACTCACATGCCCTCTCTCTCCTTCCCTGCATTCCTCTGGCTTCACTCCTCGTCTCTCTCCCCCCATGTCTCTCAGTACTTTGATGAAGAGCGGGATGATTATGAATACCCCTATTATTATGAAGGAACTACGAGTGTCCCTCCCTCCCAATCCGCCCCTCCCTCCGTCACAGCCGGGACCCTCACCGAACAGGTAAAGAGGGAGCGTGAAAATGGAGTGAATCAGAAAAGAGAGGAAGAGATGGCATGAATTATGAAAAAAAAAAACAGATTTGCATTTTCTAAAGGAAATATCTTTCAGTAGTCTTAAAGTTTCAGGTATAGTGCAAAAAATATTTTTGTCTTGTTTTACATTAAAAATATCTAAACATCCCTGTAACAAAATAAATCTATTTGATTAGGTTTATACTTAAACCAAGAGTTTTTTTTTGTAGATGTTTGTACATGATGATTAAGAAAACTGATTAGTAACATAAGAACAAAAAGACAAATCAGAATTAAGTATGCAGATACATGTAAGAAAGAACACCAATCAGAAGTCAAATATTCCAACAACACCAGTGCTGTTGTTTACATCGGTCATTCAATGTCAAATATTTCCATATTTACATCTCAAATGTCTAATCTACAAGTTTAAACTTTACAAAAACAAATAGATGTGATGACACAAATGAACACAGAAAGTGTAATGTTAAACTTACCCGTCTCTTTCAATTGAATAAATTCATCCTCTCCTTTCTGTTCACTCCTGTTTTGCATCGTCATGTGTGATGTCCCACCTCTTTCCGAACGCCACCTCGTTTCACCTCCCCCCTCACCTATAACACTATATTGATGTTGCTTGTGTCACCTACATGTTGTCCGTTGTCATATATTTGTACCTGTATAGTGTCAAAATGTTTGTGTTGGTCAGTACATGATTGTGTGTATGTGGATTTTAAAGGGGCACTGGACACACACACACACACACACACACACACACAAACTATATCACGCACGGATCATGGCCCCACTGTGTTAAACCAACAGCTGTAGAGAAAGAGGTAGAAACACTGATTTACTAAACAGAGAGTAAAGTGTTCATACATCCATGTATGTTATATCTCAAATAAATTTTATATTTAGGAAATCTAGTGACTTAGTAATTTAATATTTACATTTTAAACTGGACTGAACTGAACTGATATACATTTTTTTAGATTTGCATTAGCTAGTTTAATTCTAATTTACCTTACTTTTTTCAGTGACAATTTTTAATGTTATTTTAATGTAATTTTACGATTAAAGTCCATATGCTGGTTCAGTAATTTTTTATAGTCATTTAACCAATCTGATTTCAGTATATGACCAAATTCCATGTGCATGTCAATGAGGTTATTGTAACTTATTGATTTTCATTCTTCATAGTTGCATGGCATTACTCTTCCTAAAATCTGATTTTATTCTTACATGTATTTGCATGTTTTCACATTTCACTTGTTGTGTGAGTTCTCTTGTGTCTTGTGTCACTCTGATTTGTTATTATGAACAACGAACGTCTGTGTCTATGTGTTTATTCATATCCATCTCTTCACTTCTTAGGTTTACTTTCACTTTGCCCAACATTGTCCTCTCACTTATTTTAGTGCTGTTTTGCTTGCCCTGTAGACAGTCTTTGTATTTCACTGTGAGTAAAGATAACTTCGACTAGCTCAGTATGTGTATATGTAGATAAGTCTTCAATTAATATGCCTGTTTTATTCTCTGCAGTTTGTGCTTCTGCTTGTCATCTTATTCTGGGTAGTCTACGCCATTCATTCCTTTCACATTGATTAGTATTAAAATTTTGATGTTCTATGTCTAAAACAGTTTTCTTTAATGATTCGATACATGCTGGCAACGGGATTATGAATGGTGTAATATGACTATCTCACTTCCTGTCACTCTTTCTGTGCAGTTGAGCAGCACAGTGTACCAGCCATGCATCAGTTTGATCAACAGATGCTATTTGAGCATACTTTCCCCCAGTGCCTCACAGCGTTACGTCCCCATGCGCACAACATGCTGCTTTTTTAATGTGGAGATTGGCATTATTGGAGAAAACAGTATCACATTTATCTTTCTTTAGGTACGATTGAAGTTCACTAAACTCATTATATAACTATGACAAATAAATCGGATTGAACATTATACTGTATCCAGTAATGCCAGTGAAATCTCAGTCAGTCATTCAAGCGCCAGCGATCTTAAATTCATTGTGTTGTCTCTCTCTTTTTCTGTCCATCCCCACTACTTTCAATCCCCCCCATCCCTGATGTCTTCCACTCTCTATCTCTTTCTCATTCCCTCCCTTTTCATGAACGCTGACCCGACACTTTTTAATTCAATAAATAAAAACGTTATTTATCAAATAGGAGGGCAAGGCGAACAACGGCAAAGCCGATAAGCAAAAAAATGCCCCAGCCAAAGCCGCTGCTGGTGCAAAATCAGAAAAACCTGCTCCAGCTAAACCAGCTAAAGCCAAACCAACTCCATCAGTCAAAACTGGAAAGAGCAAACCTACTGCAGCGCAATTATTGATTTCAAAGATAAAACCTACTTTGGCTTCTAAACTAGCAGCCAAACCAAAAGCAACTCCGGCCCCAAAGAATGACAACAAAAAAAAGGCTAATGACAATGGAAAGGCGGTTGAGGAGAAAAAAAATAACGGTCAGGCTAAAGTAAATGGTAATGGCAACGGCAAAAGCAATGGGAATGGGAAAGATGCAAATGGTAAGGCTAAGGCTGGCAGCAATGGTAAAGTCAATAACAATGGCAATGGGAAGGCAGCTGTGGAGAAAAAAGCAAACGGAGAAGCTAAAACTAATGGCAATGGTGCAAAAACAGTGAAGGCTGAAAAGGCAGCAGTGACCAAAGTAACAATAACCAAGGAGTCAGAGACAACTGCAACGAAATTGGGAAAAACTAAACCGCCCGCCAAACCACAACCAACCAAAGACAAGACAGACAAAACAAAAGCCAATGCACCACCCGTGAAGTCTAAACCAACCAAAACTGTGGTAGAGAAGGTTCAGACCAAAGTCACTAAAACTGCCAAAGTAGCAGCCGTCACTCAAAAACCTGTTGTTTTCAAACCCACCCCTGCGCCTTTGCCTCTCCCTTCAAAACCTAAGGTCTTGGATGTCAATAACGTCAAATCAAAGTCCAAAAATTTCCCACCCTTCGACAAGGCTGCTGTGCGTGGCACGACCATCTCTTCTCCAGAAATCCCCAAGAAGAAACCCACCAATGGTTATCAACAGGTACAAAATCAAGAGCCCGTGTTGGCCGTCCAGAGCTGTATTTCCAACCTCGTCATCTTGGTTCAGGACTGTATTCTTATCTCAGAGTAAAGGTTGATCTGGGATTTGTCTTCATTGAAAATGTTGAAAGATAACAGATACAACACATACTCTGAGGTGCTTTTTGAATACGATCCTACATCGTACCTTTCAGGTTTTGCATACTTTTCAGGATTAATGTTAAAACAGAATTTAAAAAAATTGATCTTCAATTGATTTTTCCATTATACTTTCCATCATGTTAATCAAAATTCAGAAAACAGTGTGTACAACCATAAAGGTATCATGACATTGACCAGCTGCGAGGTTGGAGACATACAGACTCGCTGGATCTCCTCCACCCTTTCATATATCAAATGATCCGAGTGATCATTAGAAGGATATGATAAGCGGTATAGACTGTGTCATCACCGCATGGCTATTTGTACAGTCTTTTGTTTCTCTTCCATTTTATTTCCTGTCACTCCAAATCTACACTGTCTAACTGGTTAGTTTGTAGAAAGTAGTTTACCAGGTAATGCCGATTAGAGCATGTGATCAGTTGAGAAACATAGTCATAAGATCCCACAGTTTAATGAGTCATTGGTAGAGCTCAATGTTACACATGACACAACGAGTCTCTTTCTCCATCTCACTTTCTGATTTCAGCCTGTTTCTCCTTTATGTGTTGTTTATTAAATGCTGTCCTGTGAATGAAATATGAGAGAAGCAGTTTCACAAAAAATATACTACTCAAAATATTGACTCTGTGATGCTGCACTCCATGATTATCAATTCTTTCTGTCTTTGTTGAAGATCTGTCCCATGAAATTGAGGACAAATGCCCAAAAGTTGTTTATTGATGGTGTCTGTTGTGTTTCAATGGTCCACAGTGACCATTGCCACTAACGTCACACCTGTAAAGTCAAGTTCTGACCCAACTTGACTATATATTTTTTGCTTGACATGGCAATGTGGCTTTATAAAGCAAATTAGGTTAAAAGGAAAATCTGTCTGGGACAGCAAATCTTGTTGATTAAAATAAGTCTTTCACGACGCAAAGGTTTATTCCAAGATTTTTGATTCCAGCTGCAAAAAGTTTCCGATTCTGATTTGACTATGACACGAGAACAATGGCTTTTTGCCAGAAGACGTGTCGTCTTCTATCAGCAAAGGCACATTGATCTCTTCTTTCTGCATGTAACAAGTTCATCAGACCTGAGCTTGTTTTTATACTAATCAATCTCTCTCCTTCAAATCTGCTTACCTCCACCCCGACCCCACCCACCTCTTGGCCTCCTCCAATCAGGACGTAGATCCTGCTTACTCAGAGGCTGACCACACCCCCACAGAGACCGATTATTATTACACAGTAGAAGAAGAGGCGTCCCCACAGCCAGAAAGTGATCCGAATGGATATGAAGAAACCATTAACCAGGTAACCCACACCCATAGATAGCTGAGAGACATGGAGCAGTCAACAATCTCTATCAGAGTCTCTCAATTGCTTTAAATCATTACACTGGAGGTGAGACCAGCCTGTGTTTATTTTACCTTAACAAATTAACAATTCTGCAGCCACGTGTGCCATGATAAGTGCTGTACTTAACCGCAAAATGAATGCATAGCATCCATTTTATCAAATATTCTTTTGTGATTCTTATTTCACTTGCTTTAAGATTTTATCCTTGTTCTTATATCAAAGCCAGATGTGACATCATCTTGACATAAGAAGGAAAATCTTGAGAAACAGAGATCACAAAAGAAACGGTGCAAATATGGAATGAATACCATGCATTCGTTGCTGGACAGCTTCTTTTAAGAGTGAGATATGTTTGGGAGTCAGTCACTATTAATCAGTAAGGTCAGAGAAACTGATTGACTTTATATACAGCCTTTTTTTTGTGAGCGAACAATGAATTAGTGGGTTAGTTAGACCTAACTAAATACTTTTTCGTCTAGAGTGGGACTTTTTGGTCAGGTTTGTATTTAAGTTGTTTAGTAATAGTTTGGGAATGGACAATCTACATGGCCAGAAAGTTAAATGAAATAGTCAACAAAATAATGGTAAGAGACTAGTAGGAAGTAGTGCTTTAGTTTTTGCCTCAAAGTAAGTGTGTTTCCATAGGCCTGAGTGATTCTGTAGTCAGTAAATCAATAGATTAGTTTGAAAACAACAATATTGGACAAATACACCTCAAAAAAAGACTTTAATTTCATATTGAGGCACAACGCTCAAAATTATGGTCTCACATTTTGCTTAGTCAAAGTCATGATGTTGGAGAAGAAATGGACAAGTTCTTTCAAAAGGCCCATTCACATCAAGATGGATCACCACAACAATAAGGTTTTAATAATCATTCAAACAACAATAGGGAAATCCACATCACAGCTAAAATGATAACGACAAAGAGAAACGATACCTTTGGAATCACTTTTAGAATGATTTTTTCCAGGTGATGAATGATAAAAACATTGTCAATCAACAACATAGCCAATCAGAATCCATCCGACTTCAAATAGCTTGAGCATTTAAAGTGTCAGTGCGTGATTTTAATAAAAGGATTGTTATCGTCTGTTGGTGTGAATTAGTTATCTTTATAGGTATTGTTTTTGGTGTGAACGGGCCTTTAGACTGAACAATAAAGCGGTAAAAGAGACCAATTTTTTTTGTTAAATTAGACATGAAGAAGTTTTGGTGAGATCAATTTCTGTGCTATGAGTGTGTGTGTGTGTGTGTGTGTGTGTGTGTGTGTGTGTGTGTGTGTGTGTGTGTGTGTGTGTGTGTGTGTGTGTGTGTGAGAACCTGTGCCCATATCTGTGTTCCTCTCTCATGATCTGTTTGACAGGTAAGATCTATTATTCTGATTATTCTTTGCCCTCTCATTCCCATTTTTCCTCTCTACTTTCCTATCTTCTCTCCATTCCTACCCCATCACACCATATAATCTTCCATCCTCCAAACCATCCACCCCACCCCTACCTCTGCTCCCAATGGTACGGCCCAGGTGGACGAGACTGTCGCTGTGGAGGAAATAGATACGACCAAGATAGGTGGTGAAGGGGTGTCTCAAACGCCAGACGAGCCCTTCGCTGAGGAGTACATAACAAGCGACTTTGGAATGAAGGAGTATGACTATTCCTACAAAGACTACAGTGAGCCCATCTCCGAAAGCAAGACGGAAGATACCCTAGGCCCTGCCCTGTCCGCTGTGACAGATGAGGGAGGTGTAAGTTATCTTGTGCTTTCCTGCAAATTCCCTTTAAAGCTTTGATAAAAGCTTAAATTGAATTTGCTATGGCTTTAAGTCTTGCAGAGGCATCAAGCAGAAGCAGACAGTTGTTAAGACCAGCTAAGCACTGGTGCTGGTTTAAGTTCTGTGGCCAGTTGCATAAACTTAGTCACTATATTAAGACTGTGTCTTAAAAACTAGTTTGACCATTTTATGCAACTGACTTTAAAAAGTGAGGACCAGTTGTGAAGAAAAAAACTGAGATGACTAACCTTTAAGACTAGGTGTTTTATGCAACCAGCCCTGGGTCTAGGACTTAAGATCTGTTCCAAAACCTATGCCTTGGCAGAAATTGTATCTTGTATTTTTTGTATTTTTTTTAAAGAATCTTTTCTTTGGGACATCTAAGCTGGCAAATGTTTTGAGATATTAAGAAATATGGATTTTTAAATATTTGTACATTTGATTAAATACTGATAATGATAAAATTAGTTTGTAATAATCTAATTAAATATCTTAATGAATAATCTAAGTAATATTGACAATATTTATGTGAATTATGTATTATGATTATTAATTAAAGTATCACATTGTTTGCTTAGCAACATGTTAGTCAAACTGTCAATTGTGAGTTAAAATCTTAACATGACGAGCGCTTTATCAGTTTATTGGGTTATGTAGGTAGTGTTATCTTAGTGTTGTTTATATACTATTATAGTATTTATTAATATTTTGAATTAGTTTTTATTATATATACATTTTATAATATACACATATTTCATATTTAGTTTGTTTTTAGTAATTTTGTAACTTCTGTCTTTTTTTAAAATTATATTTCTGTTGTTTCAGTTATCTGCCGTGACAAGTTTTCAGATTTTTTAGTTTAAGTTTAAGTTTTTCATTTAATATTTTTTATTTCAATTAACAGGAATGATTTTTATTTTAGTTAAAGGGTTAGTTCACACAAAAATGTAAATTCGGTCATCATTTACTCACCCTTATGTTGTTCCAAACCTGTAAGATTTTCTTCCTTCTGTTTGAATAAAAAGAAGATATTTTGAAGAATGTCAGTAACAGACATTTGACAGTAGCCATTGACTTCCATAGTAGGAAAAAAATACTGTGAAAGTCAATGGCTACTGTCAAATGTCTGGTACCCAAAATTATTTTTAGTTCAACAGAAGAGAAATTATACAGGTTTGTAACAAAATAAGGTTGAGTAAATGATGACAGAAATTGTCATTTTTTGGTGAGCTACCCCTTTAACAATAATAACATTGGTAGGCAGTACACAGCAAGGCAGCACACTAGGTTTTGGAAGAGAACTTCAATTTCCAAAAGAGTTGACTAATTTGCAGTATCTTTTTACCTAAGACTAAATCAAGTTTGCTTAGAGAGTAATGGGTTAGCAAGTTATGTCATCAACAGGAAATAGTTCCCCTGTCAGCAAACCTTGTTTTTAACAAGACTTCAAGTCTTGAACACTGCCTCCTTTGCTCAAGATTCCTCTGCAAGTCTGCATAGAGTGCTTAGTTCAGTATAGCTCTATCAATATTGGTTAACTCAGCTGCTCTAATGCTGATCCGAGACCAGCCTTAATCTCGATCAGCATTGAACAGTAAATCTTCTTGGAAGGCGCCCGACTGTTTGAGCTTCAGCGCCAAAGTTTTTCAGTATGTATTAACGTGCTGTAGACTTGTAGATCCTTATCTGCAAATACAAAAATAAAAATGTGTAGTGGTTACTTCAGTCTCTAATGTGCAGCATTTAGATGGATGGCCTCACAACAGCAGATTACCGGCATTATAAGCATGCTTTGTCAGCTAAGTATTTACTTGACTTCATTATAAAATAAATTGTCCGTCAAGGCGTATCAAGGAGTTTCAGTGGTTTACGGGAAGTTATGAGTCACATTCATAACCACTCAAGGGTTATAATGTAGGTGGGTGTACAATGCTCAGCTACTACCTGAACATCTTGGACGATTGGTTTGTTCTTTTTGTATATTGACTGGGCTCTGTTTTGGGTTACATATCTGTTTTCCTCAGGCCTCCGTGCGAGCCCTGAAGGGAGAGAAGGGAGAGCCTGCTGTCCTTGAACCTGTAAGCATCATCATTCCATAGTCATTAGCCAAAACCATTATGATAAAGGTTAACATTTGGAAATTGTAAATACAACTACTAAACCTGTTAAGACATGCAATTCACCCAGACCACCAGAGGGTGCTACAGAATAACATTTTGATGTATTGCATGTTTACGTCTTTTCTAAATATATTTCTGTCTTTCATTTCTTAATTTTACCACTCTCACTCTCACAGGGCATGCTGATTGAAGGGCCACCTGGACCAGAAGGACCAGCAGTATGTTCACTTTTATTGTTTTGAGTGAATTTATTATCAATTACCATTCCTATTCCTTTTTTAAACTGAATTGTAGAACTTCCTTTCCTAGGTCTCCATATTGTGCATTGCAGTTTATTTTTCCTCCTCCTCATATAGGGTGAATATCAGGTTGATTTGGACTTTTTTCCTCAGTCATTTCAATGGCATTAAAGTGTCCCACTCAACCTGAATTCACCCTAGTATTTACTACACGGGGCCCATCCCAAGCTTGGGGCAGACCCAGTGCGAGTTAGCAGAAGTTACTTGTTAATAAATGCTATTAAAATGTTATGTTAAAAATTATGTTTCACAAGTGTAGTTTATAAACTCTCATTTATGCAATTTTCTCTCTGTATTAGGGTCTCCCTGGCCCCGCTGGCCCTCAAGGACCCCCTGGTTCTGTTGGTGATCCTGGTGAGAGGGTGAGTAGACATTTTTTTTTGTGTGTTTACAAAAATTACGCTTTAGATTTTTGATTATGCTAATTTGAAACATTATACATACATTGTGGTGCTCATTGTTTCCCTACGTTTTTTCAAGTTCACGTCAAGAGTATGTAGTTATAATTGAAAGCATTTTAATTAATCAAAGCGGTTGTTTCTGTAGGGTCCTACTGGTAAGGCTGGTCTACCTGGAGCGGACGGTGTCCCAGGACCTCCTGGAACTTCTGTCATGCTTCCTGTAAGTCTTCTTTCCTCTTTCTTATTCTCAGTGTTCATAAAGTCATCTCACCACTAGATGTCACCATTATACCATTACTGTCAAGGATGTCAAATGTGACTTTATTCCTACCCAGCTCCCCCTGAGCTCCCACACACAAGATAGTCCAAGTTGCCTCTTGATTTGCAAACCTCTTTTCTGTTTTTGCAGTTCCGCTTTGGACAGAGTGGTGGTGAAAAAGGGCCTGTTGCCTCAGCACAGGAGGCGCAAGCTCAAGCCATACTGTCTCAGGCTCGGGTTAGTCAAAACTGTCATATAATATTAATTTAACATTTATTTATTGCTTTTTCACATTGAGGTCTAACTTTATACATCTTCATTTGTAATTAATGGAGTTTTCTTCTGTCTAGATGGCTCTGAAAGGTCCACCTGGGCCAATGGGTTTCACCGGCCGTCCTGGACCTTTGGTAAAAGAACTAAGCAAAAATAAATAAATTAAATATATATATAATGTCTGTTACAGTTTTATATGTTCTCTGCCAAATGCGTTATCAGTGTTAATCAGTGTGATATTGTTATCTGGTTCTTAAATAGGGAACACCTGGAAGTCCTGGCTTAAAGGGAGAGGGTGGGGACCCTGGTCCTCAGGTAAGGGGTTCTGCATTTGTGTTTCTGTGTTATTATAATTGTTCGTCTTGTCTCGAAGAACATTTGCCAGACATTGAGCCATCCTGATATGCTCTGACCGGATGAATGTTCAAATATCTTGCATAAAAACTAAAGAGAATAGCCTTTATCATGCATCCTTATTGTGTTTTTGCAGGGTCCCAGAGGTCAACAAGGATTATCTGGTCCTCCTGGTAAAGCTGGACGGAGGGTGAGTCCAATACAGTGTTCCAGACTAATTAAAAAACAAACCCATAGATTTACATCGACACAGGCCATATCTAAAGATCAGAACATCATAATAACTTATCAGTGTTTTTTTTTTTTTACTCAAGGCATTAAGTAATCACCTAGCAACAACCCAGAACACCTTAGAAACCACATAGTAATGCCCTGGCAACTACCCAGAGCTTCATAACACCATGTTAGCACCGGTTTGTTTATATATATGATGTGTCCTGCAGGGTCGTGCTGGTGCTGATGGAGCCAGAGGAATGCCAGGAGAGTCTGGAATTAAGGTTGGATATTTTAGCCATTTTTGTTTAAGTTGTGTTCTGTGTGTGATTCATTGTGTTATGTGTTTAGTTTCAGCTGTACATGTCTTCCAACTCTGAAATGTAATCATGTTGACCTTGACTGAATATTTTGGACAAGCTGTTTTTATATGTGCGTGTTTTTCTACATTAGGGTGACCGTGGCTTTGATGGCCTTCCTGGTTTGCCTGGAGACAAGGGTTATCGGGTAAGGACTTAAATTCATTGAAATTCATGAACTTCATTATTAATGTTAATTATAAGCCCTGTTTCAAGGCTTCGGCAAATTTGTTATGTAGCTATTGGATGTATAATAGCAAACTAAATGCTATTAATTAGCTATTAATAATTGCTATTAATTGGATGTATAATATTAAATTAAACATTTAATATTAAAATGTTTAATGTTTTCTACAGGGTCAGACTGGAGGAATGGGACCCCCAGGACCGACTGGAGAGGACGGAGAGAGGGTAATTCTGTAGAGTTTTTTTTTTTTAACCTCTGCTGTTACAGTAAATTAACAATCGTGAATATTATTATATGTTGTCTAAATATTCTCTTGATATTTGTTGATTATATTTGTTTTATATCTATCATCATCATCTTCGTAAAGCATAAAAAATGAGTTTTGATTTTTTTAATTGTCCTATTTCATCTTGACTATTGTCAGGGAGATGATGGAGACGTCGGACCCAGAGGTCTTCCCGGCGAACCGGTGGGTGTTTATGTTTCTCAGACACTGTACACATATATGACAGTGTATATGATAGTATTGGCCTGTATAATATGGATTTGCTCTCCAGTTTAATATCCATAAGGATCTGTGTTTTACTTGGATTTCATTGTGTGTTCTTTGTTGAACCTTTTTCTTATTTTGTAGGGGCCCCGTGGTTTGCTGGGGCCTAAAGGGCCTTCTGGACTTCCTGGTCCTCCTGTGAGTATTCATCCGAAGCTACAAATACTAGTAAAATGTTAAAACTTCTGAGTGTAAAAGTGTAAAAAAGTCTTTTGAGTCAATATTATAATTGCTACGGTTGTACAGCAACTTCAGCAAACCATCATAAAATTGAAGATTTGAAAAATAAATATTTGTACATGGATATCCAGATAGATCTTTCTTTCATTTCTCCATATTATTTCTTTGCCAGGGTGTCCGCGGAAATGATGGTCCACATGGTCCAAAAGGAAACTTGGTCAGTAAATGGTCAGAGTTCTCTGACATTACTCTAGATGGCATTTTTTTAACGGTTTAAAATGATGCAATAATTGGCATATGTATGTAATAGGCTAAACATTCATAAAATGTAATCAACATTAAATATCTGTCCTCATTCTAATTGTCCTCTTCCCTCTTTTAAGGGACCCCAAGGAGAGCCTGGTCCTCCAGGACAGCAGGGGGCTCCAGGAACACAGGTGAGTGATGAACTTTATGACAAATTTAATGACTAATGTACAAAATCATATTGAATAGTATTTAATATTAATGCTTTTCTGTGCAACAGGGAACGTCAGGGCCACAAGGTGCTAATGGACCGCCAGGAGAGAAAGTGAGTGTTTTTTTATGATTGAAGAACACAAATCAATCATTTTTAATAATCAAAGAATGTGCTTTACAGAATGTGCGCTTTACCACGTTGATGTCTGCATTTGATAAAAAGATACAACATACTTACACGTCCAGTCTCATGCTGGTATCATCAATTATGTTTAAAGGAATTAAATGTAATTATACTGCTATTTTGTTTTGTCTTCTAACAGGGACCCACAGGAAAGCCAGGTCTACCAGGAATGCCCGGAGCTGACGGTCCTCCCGTGAGTGCTAGATATGATTTTATTTTGCTCTTTGGTATGTTAATGACTTTCAGTTTATGTGAATTTCACATGATGAATGTGCCGTACGTGTTTGTCCCACAGGGTCATCCCGGAAAGGAAGGCCCTGGTGGAACCAAAGGAAATCAGGTGAGGCCATATCATAATACTAAGTATATTCTATATTTACCTTCATAAATTAAAGGTCATTTGTGCCTCAACTATTTGTATACTTTTTTGTATTTGTGAACTTTTCACTGGGTGTAATCAGCAATGACATTCGCCTTCAGTACAGAGATAATATATTAAACTGTCTCATTACTTCATACATATAGGATATACAGACATGCACATGTTCCCACAAATTCCAGTGTGTTCATATTTTGATGTTTATTTTCCTTGTTCATATATTGTTAGGGTCCTAATGGTCCTCAGGGGTCTATTGGCTATCCTGGCCCTCGGGGAATCAAGGTAAAATATATTCTTCTTTTTTTTCAATGCAGGTAGCTTTTGTTGTTTTGTTATGATCATTTTTCATTGAAAATTAAATCTGTGTAAATATTATTTAGACTAATCATTCAAATGAACATTTAGTCACCTGGTGTCTGTGTCATTTTTAGAAACATAGACATTTTTTATGTATTGGACTTTGGAAAATAGCTATTAATATCTCATTGCTATCTACACTCTTGTGTAAGACTCAGCACAGTAATATTTGACTGACTGAATAACTGAAAATCAGACTGAATATTTTGTGACATTCACAGGGAACTCAAGGTATCCGTGGACTGAAGGGCCACAAAGGAGAGAAGGTGAGTGTTTTTGGTCAAAAACATAAGTCAAATGTATTGTCGTTATAATAATGAAACATTTCAGTAATTGTGACCTGTTTGTGCCAAACGTATAGGTTCAATGGTTGGGGTAAATAACTTTTTCTTACTTTCAGGGAGAGGATGGATTCCCTGGAATCAAAGGAGACTTTGGTGTGAAGGGAGAGAGGGTACGTCTTACACCAAACATCATTGGATATAAACTCATCAAATAGCATGTGATTTAGCTCAAATGTAAAATGGTGCAGTCCAGAGTTGCTTCAGCTGGCAGGCCGACAGTAGAAGCACTTGACTCTATTGACACATTTCAACTGCCCAATACGATTTGTTGTGCACTAACAGGGAGAGGTTGGAGTGCCCGGCCCGAGAGGAGAGGACGGTCCTGAGGGGCCAAAGGGTCGTGTCGGACCCCCTGGTGAAATTGGACCTCTCGGCGTGTTGGGAGAGAAGGTTAGTTGATTAAATAAATTGAGAGGTGATTGCTGATTTTGTTCCGTTATATATAATTTTAGCTATTTTTGTATTGCTATTGATGCTGACAGTAATATATATTGTTATAATGGTATATTGCTGGTCTAAAGATGTGGTAAATAATTCTATATTATTCCAATCCAGGGTAAACTTGGTGTGCCTGGACTTCCTGGCTATCCTGGAAGACAAGGAATTAAGGTAAACAAAAATAATATTGTTTTTGACGCATCGTGCAATATACAGCCAAGTATTTAATCAAATTTAATGCATTTTTTTATTATAATGCTTGTATTTTTAGGGCTCCCTTGGTTTCCCAGGATTCCCTGGTACAAATGGCGAGAAGGGCGCAAGAGTAAGATTTTATTTTTAGACTAAATTAGACTAAAACTTCAGACAAGCAGCATTAGTCAGAGTGATGTCAATGCCACATCTGCATTTAAGTCAAAGTTGAGAAAAGTCCTTTATTTACATTATTAATTTAAATAGTATGACATAGGCTTTCCTCCTTTAGAAAATAATTGAATGAAAGATTTCTGAATTGATTCTTTTCTTTTCAGGGTTTGATCGGAAAACTTGGACCAAGAGGACTAAGAGGGCCTACCGTAAGGACCTGAGATGAGATTCATCATCTCATCTCTTATCTTATTCTGCTTTCATTTGATTTGAGATGGTTTGATATGTTGAAGATTAAACTTCTTTTTGTTAGATTCGGTCAAGCAGATATATGATTTCAGATCAGTTCACTTGTAAAGCAATGCTCAATGATTTTATTTTGTATTTTTTAATTTAGGGTCCCAGAGGGCAGAGGGGACCCCGTGGATCAACAGGAAAACCAGGTGCTAAGGTATGAACGTCATTTATTATTCTCAAAAAATGAATTAAATCTTGTAATTACCAACAATTATAGATTATGTGTAAATAACCAATTCATTCTGATGTTTTAGGGCGGATCAGGCAGTGACGGGCCCTCTGGACCACCTGGAGAGAGAGTATGTTTATTTAAAATTTGATTGTATTTATTTAAACCCTTTAAAACCAGCCTAGATTTTTGGTTCATCTTTATTTTATTAGTAATGTTTCCTCTTTTTTTTCAGGGATTAACCGGACCTCAAGGTGCAAATGGATTCCCTGGGCCAAAGGGACCTCCTGTAAGTTACAGTTTATTAGTTTGATCTGATGCTTGCCACTTAAGGTTTGTCTATTTCTTATTGATATGTCGATTGGTTTTTGAAGGGACCTCCGGGGAAAGATGGACTGCCTGGACACCCTGGACAGAGAGGCGAAGTTGTACGTATCTTTTGTTTTTGTGCATCTAACTTACAACATTCACTGAGATCAAGATGAGATTATATGTGCAGCAAAATACATTTTTCCGTTTTCATTGTATTCCTAGGGTTTCCAAGGCAAAGTTGGACCACCTGGGCCACCAGGAGTGGTTGGACCACAGGTGAGTTTTGTAATTTCATCAGAGGTAGAGGCTTCCATATTTCTTCTTTGTAGGTAGAGGCAATATGGATTTTGCCTCTACCTGGAAATCTTTCAAATCAATTGAGAAATGTATTGAACTACGCAAGCGTTACTCAAATCTAGTTCTTGTTTAGGGTCCCTCTGGTGAGACTGGTCAGATGGGTGAGCGTGGCCACTCAGGACCCCCAGGACCACCCGGTGAGCAAGGCCTTCCTGGGCCCTCTGGTAAAGAGGGAACTAAAGGAGATCCCGGTCCATCTGGCGGCCCCGGGAAAGACGGACCCCCTGGACTGAGAGGATTCCCAGGAGAAAGAGGACTGCCAGGAACTCCGGTAATAAGACCTGCTCATTCCTACCAGTGAATTTTAGATTGTAAAATTTGTAAAAATGTTTTTATACCTAATAACTGAGCTCTACCTGTGTATTTCCATAGGGAACTGGAGGACTGAAAGGAAATGAAGGCCCTGCTGGACCACCTGGACCTGCTGTATGTTGCTCATATTAAACAGATCATCAACATATCATGAGTAGAATACAGACTGTGATTAGATCGGTTCTATACTGACTCATGAATAGGTGTATGTCTCATGTTTTAACACAAAATAAACAGGAAAAATAAGAAATTATATTTTGCATGACAAAAATAATGCATATTTTAAGAAACAAGATGTTTTGCATTGCATTGTAAAAAATATTTGTATTTTTTTATTTCTTATAATATTTGCTTATTTAAATAAGCTTGAATGAAAAGACAAATACAATGATATATGTTTGCAATTGTACTTATTCTCTGCAAATTATTCTTTCCACATTACATCAATTAAATTTTTGTTTTTTGCATTACAGTGGGCTTAAGATAATTCCTTAAGGCTTAATTGTTATGAAAATGTCACAATGAAAAATATAGTTTTTTATCATTTTTGAGGAATTCTGAAATCATATGTTGGCATTTCAACAATTTTAATTTCTATGCAGGGCTCATCTGGGGAGAGAGGAGGTGCTGGCACTGCAGGTCCTGTCGGCCCGCCTGGACGACCTGGACCTCAGGGACCCCCTGGAGCTTCTGGAGAAAAAGGAGTGCCAGTAAGTGTCTACTGTAAGTTTGAACCAGATCTCTAATACAGTTTTATTTATAGGCCTGTCACACAAGATCATCCTGTTTTACAGGGAGAGAAAGGTCCGATTGGTCCAGCTGGTCGCGATGGCATCCAAGGCCCAGTTGGTCTCCCCGGCCCTGCTGGACCTCCAGGTACTTCTGGAGAGGATGGAGACAAGGTCAGTGACCTCTGCATATCTTGATCTCAAATCATCACATTCAAATGGATGTCCTTGTCAAAAATGAATTCTGCATTGTTCTTTGTAAAGGGTGAGGTTGGAGAGCCAGGACAAAAGGGAGGGAAAGGATCCAAAGGAGAACATGTAAGGAAATTAGCTTTCACTTAAAGCAACAAATCCTTGTTTTGATGAGCATAATATCAATCTATAATCAATTTGCATATTTACAGGGTCCTCCTGGTCCACCTGGGACAATGGGTCCTGTTGGACAGCCTGGTGCAGCTGTAAGTGTGGAAGGAATTTCTTGAAAATCATACATATTCACACATATTACATGTTAAAGAAATGCTTGCATTGCACTTTGATGGAAACAAATGGGATTACAAATTCATGGTACCATTCATACTTGTGCGTGTGATCAAGCCCATTTCAAATCTCCTCATCTCTACTCAGGGTGCCGATGGTGAGACCGGTGCGAGAGGTCAGCAGGGACCGTTTGGCGCTAAGGGAGATGAAGGGACAAGAGGATTCCCTGGGCCTCCAGGCCCCATTGGACTACAGGTATATCATTCAAATCTTGTTTCATTCACTCATACCAATTCAATTCTACATACAGGATGCATTAGTTATAAGTTATAATTTATACTTCATTCATGTTCATTAGGGTTTGCCAGGCACATCTGGAGAAAAGGGAGAGACAGGAGATGTTGGGCCATTGGTGAGTCTTAATATTTTGATTTGAAGAGATTTAAGGAAATCAAAAAGTGCAGTTATGTATAATGCAGCATATGATCTTCTAGTGTTTTGAATCACGATTAGAATGAATGTATTTCCTAATCTTTTCTGGTTGTGTATTATTGTAGGGTCCTCCTGGTCCCCCAGGACCACGTGGTCCAGCTGGTCCCAATGGTGCTGACGTAAGTTAATTAATTTGGACTATAACTAATGAATTACTAATTATAACCATTCATTATTATGTTTTATAATAACTATGCATTGACTCTCTGTAATACTTGATTCAGATTGGTCAATCTGATGGCATACTGTGGTCAGTTAATATTGTATAACGGCATTATTTTGTTTCATGCATATCGTTCGTTTTGCAGGGTCCTCAAGGTCCTCCAGGAGGTTTGGGTAATCCAGGTCCCTTAGGAGAGAAGGCAAGTATAAAAGAATTCAGCTTTGTGAATGGATGACAACTATATGATTGTTCTGATGAATGGCACTTGACGTTATTTTATTTGTATTGACAGGGTGAGCCTGGTGAATCTGGACCACCTGGTGTTGGTGGAGAGCCAGGAAAAATGGTGATCATTTTTGTCATCCTCTGAGCCTGTCAGAAATACTCACATTTATATTTATTCATTTATTAGATATAATCACACAGCTAACATTTCATTGGTTTGCTTATCCAATGACAGGGCCCGAGAGGAGAGCGTGGTGAGAAGGGAGAGTCCGGGCAGCCTGGCACCGCTGGCCCTGCTGGTGGAAAGGGACCCACTGGAGATGATGGACCCAAAGGAAACCCTGTATGTATTAAACGTGATAAACAAGAGATAGGTCTATCTGTGACTCTTCTTCAGCAGCTGATATTTGTATTTTTTAGGGTCCTGTTGGTTTCCCTGGAGATCCTGGCCCGCCCGGTGAAGTTGGACCACGAGTGAGTAGAGCTATTATCATTTATATACTAATACATGATACTTAAAATCAGCATAAATTAGGTCCTTTGTACATTCTTCATACATGTTCCTGGTCTTATTATAGTATATGATTCATCATTGCTCAGTGTTCCAACTATTATTTTTTTAAAACTTTCTTTCTGACCTCTCTTACAGGGCCAAGATGGTGCAAAGGGTGACAGAGGAGAGGACGGAGAACAAGGAGATGCTGTGAGTGATCATTTTCCTGTTTATGATGTGCACATCATACTGGCCCTTATGAGGTCTTAATCAACATGTTGTATTTACTTTAGGGTTCACCTGGACCAACTGGTGAGAACGGACCTCCTGGACCTCCAGGAAAGAGAGTAAGAGCACCTTGATCTTGACCTAGAAGAGAGGCATTTGTAATATTACGTTTACATATTTGATATTCAATAAATATTATAGAGGATCTTATAAAAAGGCATATTTCTGGACTCTAATTGTGTGGTAATGTTCATATTTTAGGGTCCTGCAGGTACAAGGGGACCAGAGGGCCGTCAAGGAGAGAAAGGAAGCAAGGTACGACTATAGAATTGAGAAAGAATACAACAGACTTTCTGTAGTTCTTTTCCTCCTGTAATCTTTCTGTTATTCCTAGGGCGATTCAGGTGCCCTCGGCCCTCCAGGGAAGACCGGCCCTGTGGGGGCACAGGGTCCACCAGGAAAACCAGGAACTGAAGGTCTAAGAGGGTTGCCTGGATCAGTGGTATGAGATGACAGTTATCCAATCAGAATTGTTTCATTTCTGTAAAAGTTATCTTCATTTAACAAAATGTAATATCGTATTTACTAAAATGATGTTCTGATAAACAGGGTGAGCAAGGTTCCCCAGGTGCTGCTGGCCAGAAAGGACCCTCTGGACCTTTGGTAAGACCTTCTGCATTATCAAAAATACAGTAATGGATTGAGTATTGAATAAGTATTGAGTCCTGAAACAGTTACACTTAGAGGGGAAGTACTATTATAATTTAATGTAATATATGCATATATATTCAATACTAAAATGCTTTCTCCTCCTCTCACAGGGTCCTCCAGGTTTACTTGGTCTTCGTGGTGACCCTGGTGCTAAGGGTGAGAAGGGACATCCAGGTATGCTTGGTCTGATTGGGCCTCCAGGAGAACAAGGAGAGAAGGGAGACAGAGGCATGCCAGGACCCCAGGGATCATCAGGACCCAAGGGAGAAACGGTATGTGAAGTCTGGTCAAGTCTGCACATCAAAATCAGACCACAGGATAATATACACGACTGTTTAAAAGTTTGGGGTTGGTACAATTTGTTTTATAGAAATTAATACTTTTATTCAGAAAATTATGCATTAAATTAATCAAAAGTGACAGTAAAAACATTTATAATGTTACAAAAGTTTTCAGTTTCATATAAAATTCTAAGCTTTTATTTCTATCTAAGAATCCTGAAGAAAATGTATCACGGTTTCCACAAAAATATTAAGCAGCACGTGTTTTCAACACTGATAATAAGAAATGTCTCTTGAGCACATAATCAGCATATCAGTCATTTTAGAATGATTTCTGAAGAGAAATTTCAGCTTTGCCATCATAGGGATCAATTACACTTTAAAATATGTTAAAATAGAAAACAGTTATTTTAAAATGTAATGGCATTTCACAATATTGCTCTCTCACTGTATTTTTTTTCTTCAAATAAATGCAGCCTTAGTGAGCGTAAGAGACTTCTTTCAAAAAAATTAAAACATCTTACCAACTCCAAACCTTTTTTTGTACATGCATGCAAAACATTCCTAGTTCATACCCTATTTCATACAATCAAATATCATCTTTTTTCATTTCTTGATATGTTTTATTTTAGGGTATGTCTGGAGGAACTGGCCCTCTTGGCCCTGCAGGTCCTGCTGGTATGCCTGTGAGTAAACCTTTTACTATTTCTCAGTTTTGTAGTGCTGTTTATCATACCAAATTCAGAATTTTCTGGAAATATTCTTGGAACTATGAGTACACAACTTGAGCTCTGAAGCATCGAAACTCTCAAAACATTGGTCTGTTTGATTAAAGCTGAATGGATGTGATGTTTCTCACAGGGTCCGAGGGGTTTCAAAGGAGCTAAAGGTGCCACTGTGAGTAACCCATGTAAAATCCTTCCTTGAACATTTGTACTTAACATAAAATGTCTGTTAATGAGGCTGAGAATTATATCAATGAGCCATATTATGTGAGGTAGTGTTAAAATAAATCATTACACATTGCCACATTTCTGTCTTACACAATTATTACTGTAAAGTATGATGTATGTCTTATCTCTGTGGTCCAGGGTGGAGCTGGTGCTAAAGGAGAAAAAGGTGTACAAGGACCACCAGGACCACCGGTGAGTGTGTGATCTACAGTATAAAATGCAAGATATTGCACAAGAATCATTTAATACAAAAAAACATACAATAATTTAAGACAAAGATTGAGGGAGATCAGCACATCCCAGAGTTCCTGCGTCCATGAAATGCAGCTGAATTCTTCTTTTGCTTTAGGGTCCCCCTGGTGATGTCATCCAGCCGCTGCCCATTCAGATCCCCAAGAAGTCCAAGCGCTCCATCGACGCCAGTAAGATGCTGTCTGAGACTGACACCGAGGCTGCCGACGCCACGGGCACAGAGTTCCTGACCGGTAATGAAGGGATGGAGGAGATCTTCGGCTCGCTCAATTCCCTGCGCCAGGAGATCGAGAGCATGCGCTTCCCGCTGGGAACGCAGGAAAGCCCGGCCCGCACCTGCCAGGACCTCCACCTCAGCCAACCAGAGCTGAAAGACGGTATGACATCATGGTTATTACGTGATAGACACATTCAATGTCCAACGGTGAGGCATTTTGCATTGGAATCATTATGATTCTTTTCTTCAGGCGAGTACTGGATTGATCCAAATCAAGGCTGCGCCCGGGACTCTTTCAGAGTTTACTGTAACTTCACTGCCGGTGGAGAGACGTGCCTGTATCCCAGCAAAGCAGTGGAGAATGTAAGAACTTGCAGTCATTCACCTTTATATGTTTAAACATTCATAAGACATCAACTTCTGAAATCTGGATTGATCTAAAGTTACGAATCCTATTTAATTTGTCCAAAATCTCCCATAGGTAAAGATGAACTCCTGGCCAAAGGAAAAGCCTGGGTCCTGGTACAGTCAGTTTGCAAATGGTGACAAGGTGAGTTTATTGCCTCGAGCACTCTTTGAAATCATATCTGCATGTTTAATTTGAAATCATATCTCTATGTTTAATTTAGACAACTAATATACATGAAAAAAGCTCTTGTTTCAATTAAAGGGTGTTCACATTGAAAGTGATTTGCAATAACAAAGCGACCATAATTTCCATTTCCAATTAATTCAGTGTGAACGCCCTGTTAGACAGCAAAATCTTAGAATGTCAATGTCAATAGACTGTGGTGTCAAGCTTAATGTATTTTGAATCATTAATTAATACTTTCCTTTGTGTTGTAGTTTTCATATGTTGACTTGAGTGGAGAGCCCGTAGGTGTCGTCCAGCTGGGATTCTTGCGGTTGCTCAGCGTCCAGGCCCGTCAAAACCTAACCTACCACTGCCACCGGTCAGTGGCCTGGGCTGACCTCACGACCGACAGCGGTTACCAGCGGGCGCTACACTTCCAGGGAGCCAACGATGAGGAGCTGAGCTACGAGACCAGCCCCTACATCAAAGCCCTCGTCGACGGATGCTCTGTGAGTTACCTTTCAAAACCAATAAATGAACAAGAGATTGCAATACATTTAAGTATTATTAAATGCAAGCTTACATAACTCCACAAATCATTTTAATTCATGTATTTTTTTACACTAAATTAACATTAAATGTCCGTTTAAGTATATTCATTTAATTAATTTTTTAAAATAATGTTTAATAATTAATATTTTAATAATGTTTAATTAAGTCATGTTAATTAATATGTATCTTATGCTCACCATGGCTGCAATTATTTGGTAAAAAATACAGTAAAACAGTAATATTGTCAAATATTTTTACAATTTAAATGAACTCTTGTCTTTTTTTATATATTTAAAGTGTAATTTCTTCCTGTGATGGCAAAGCTGGATTTTTCAGTTTTTGTCACATGATCCTTCACAACGGTTTCTAATGTTGATTTGGTGCTCAAGAAACATTTCTAGAGCATCACATTTTTAGGATTCTTTAATGAATACAAAGTTCAAAAGAACAGCGTTTTATTTGATAGAGAAATCTTTTGTAACAATATAAGTGACATTATATTGACATTTATTGTCACTTCTGTTCAATTTAATGCGTCCTTGCTGAATAAAAGCATCAATTTCTTTAAATAAATTGACCCCAAACTTTTTACCGATAGTGTATATTCACACTGTTGCAAAAAATAATGCTAGCATCATTAAAAGCTCAATGAAAAAGTGTATAAAAATTTGTAGTTTGGTTTAAATTTTTGTTTTCATTGGAAGAATACATTATAATGATGTAAAGTCGACTGGGTATTTTATGAAAATGATATGTTGGTTGTATAAAAGTGCACATACAAAGCTATTTTTCAAAGTTGCAGTTGATTTAAATTTTTATTTAAATATGTAAACAGCACTTCATATCTTGATTAGATCATTTATTTTATTTTAGGTGTGTTTTTAGAATGTTTCAACTGCAACCAAAAATACAATATTATTAAAAATATCACTTTGCTGGGTAGTTGTTCTTGTGTAATTTTATCTACTCATTACACGGTATTCTGTCCCTCCTCTTAAACATTTCTTTCTCTTTCTCCCTGCAGTATCGTAAAGGTTTGGACAGGACAGTGCTGGAGGTGAACACACCTCAGGTGGAGCAGCTCCCTCTGCTGGACATCAGGATCTCAGACTTTGGGGAGGACAATCAGAAATTTGGTTTTGAAGTGGGACCTGTCTGTTTCCTGGGATAAACACACACATGCAGAGGGCAAGGGGAATACAATCGCCGATACAAACATTCACACAGAAACGTACTCACTCAATCATGCACTTAAAACCTAGACATAATGCCAACACTAAAAAAAGACATTTGAAATTACATGTAAGAAGTGGGACACATAGATTCACACACACACACACACACACACTTACACATTGTTGTGAAACAAAGTTGCACACAAAGTACACGCCCAGGGAAAAACACTCCCAGCAACGGATGGACAACAAGAGGAGAAGAGAGCCATTCTCGCAGGAGAGATATTGACAAATATTCTGTCAAGTAACAGAAGTGTGTTGGAGCAGATCCTGCTGGCCTAAAGCGGAAGACCGTCCCGTTTCGGCCCCCTCTCTCCTACAGCTCCCCTCCCCACTGTTTCTCTTCCGAGACGTTCCACTCTTCCTACCTCCATGCCTGACCGTTCCTCGCGTCCTCCCTTTCCTTATAGAATAGAATGCAGGTGAAAAATGTAAACTGAGGAATGGAAGCTGAAAATTCTGAGCATGAAAATTCCATTAGAAGGTGAAATTAGAATCATTTCTGTGCTGTAATAAAATCACACCAGCACTGTAACTGTACTGAATGACTTGGGCCATATATATATGCAATGAAATCAAAGCCATTTACAGTGTGAAATTGTACTGAATCTGATAATGTTGTACATTTATTATAGAGTAAAAAAAAAGAAGTTTTTATAGACATGCTGCCAACTTACCAGTCCAGTATTTATGGTGAAAGAACTTAAGCTGGTTGTATTTTTACTACAGGGGCCTTTTACAAATTTGCATTTCATCTGACAATCTGCACACGGTTGACCCACGGCATTCAGTATTGATGACAAACCCATCCGTTTGTCACCTTTGACCTTTCGTGTGAACAGTGTTCAGGCTGGAATTGTGCATTAGAACCATTTGTACAGAAATATTTTATTGTATTTATTTTGTGAAACAAACAGGTGCTCACAAGAAAATGACCAACACTTGCAGTCCAAAAATAATGTGGTATTCATCTGTAATTATTTCCTGTAGTTTTTTTCTTTTTCAACAATCTATTAAATATGTAAATTAAACCCCAGAAAGCAAATCTGCCTTCTCTGTATGATATATATACTTGCTTGTGATCAGTTATTGGTGATAATATTGCATTGTTTCATTGCATTGAGGTTTAGGAGAGTTTAGTGCAGATGGAGACAATAAAAGGACGGAAACGTCTCGAGACTCAGACAGCAGTGGAGAGGGGACAGGAAGAGTGAAAGAAACTGATGGTGGTTTGTTTTTTATGTATATTTTTTGTTTCTTTTTTAAAACATGGAGAGGGGAATGAAAAGCTATAAAAATGATTTGTGAATTAAAAGTTGTTTGTGTGGTTTTCTCACAAGGGCAATACTGCTAGGATCGTTTTTGTCGGTGAAAGACAAACATCTGTCTTTAAAACAAATATGGTGCTAAAACTTGTTTTATGTAAGTACTTCAAAATCTGTTTGTGTAATATATAATCTATTTAAAGAGCTGTTGGACTCCTTTGTTGTTCTTTTCCCCATTTGTTTCCCTGTTGTCATGATCACATGGTGCTTTTGCTAATATTTGATCTGCCTCTTTTTTTTTTGAACCAAACTACCATTTTCACCTTTCAACAACTTCCCAGCACAAGTCTTCTCATGTCTTATTGAAACCATAATTAATTTGCCCACTTTCCTTTTAACACCTATTAAAAAAAAAAACCTTCATCTAAATGCTCAGCTTTGTTTGCGCTCTATTAGTCTGGGTTTTAAACTGTTAACTGTCTTCATTCTTTGACTTGATGTTGTTTTGGTCCAAACATTCCCATTAAACTACACATCAACACATTTCCTCCTGTGTCAACTTAATTGTTTTTTAAAAAGTGGGTTCAGTATTAATTTTCACACTTTAATTGTATAAATATAGAATTTTCATTTGTTGCATTGTACACAATATTTTTACAGCAATTACATCAAATTTATACAAGGACAGTTTCTCATAGAAAAAGGCACTGTGTTGGTGAACAATTTAGAGACTTTTAACATTGTTTTCAGCCAATGAAGAGTCCACCTGTATTGATTAAAGAGAAAAGTTAAATTGACAACAGCATATTTCTAAATCAAATCACACACAGTTTTTCTGCTGAAGATGCTGTTCAGCAAGAGATCAAGCTTCTTACCAGCAACTTCAATGCTGACTCCAGTAATATATCGACTGTCATCAGAAGCCAGAAAGGCACACGCGTCAGCGACTTCTGCAGAGACGAGCCAAAGTGAAAGATATCATATTATGTATTATATATACAAAGTGATCATCCAACCCAATTATTAGAACACATTTGGTGTGATACTCAAGTCCATTCATGAAAATGTTTTTGTATAATGAAGAAATACTTACCAGCAGGCTCTCCCATCCTTCCCATTGGGATGATAGATGTGAGCTGCACAAAATAACCAAAATATTACAGTAAAAGTGGCTTTAATGTGGTAAGATATCTGGCAATGCAATACATTAATATAATAAAAAGGTTAAGATCCTTCAATAAAGTTCAAAGATGTTTTAAATCAATAAAACGATCATGTGACGTCACATCTAATAAATAACTCTAAATGACAAATAATCAGCTCATTTTTTTAATCTGAAGACACAAATATTGTTCCTTACTTTATGGATGACTTTCTCTGGTACTTTATCTGTCATGGGTGTAGTGATGAACCCTGGCAGGACACAGTTGCAGCGAATACCAAATCTAAAAGGCACAAAACATCTTTTATGGTAAATTATTCAAATTATAGAGTATAAAGAGACATGATCTCTCTTCATAAAAACTGTTAAAGAATGTAATGTTTACAGCTTATTACTAACACATAAGCAGCTCCACAAACCCTAAAGCAAAACATAATATAGTTACAATGTGCAGGTCTGTAATATGTTCTAGTCACAGTAAAATGTTCACATACTTGCTGAGCTCTTTGGCTGCGGTTCGAGTGAGTCCCTCAACTCCAGCTTTAGAAGCGGAGTAGTTCACCTGGCCAACATTCCCAACCTACAGACAAAGACAACGTTCATGACTTTATTAAGCATCCTTGGTGTAAAAATGTTAGAACTGTCTGTGAGTATAGTGTACTACAGCATGATGGTAGTAATGCTTGACCTTGCCCACTATACTGCCCACAGTGATGATGGAGCCCTTCGCAGACCCGGCAGAAACTAAAGCCTTAGAGACGGCCTGAGTCAGAAGAAAAGTACCCTGAAACACATCATCAATACAGAAGATCAAATCAAGAGATCAACATTTAGGAGAAGGGGACAACTTTAATGAAAAAAAAACTATATATACACTACCATTTAAAAGATTGAGGTCAGTAAGAATTGTTTTTATAAAGGAATTATCACTTTTATTCAGCAAGCATTAAATTGATCAAAAGTGATAGTAAAAACAGTTGATACAAAAGATTTCGAATCACCTTTTTTTCAACTTAACAATGATTAAAATGAAAAACATCTCTGTTGTTTTTCATGACTGTTTCAATACAGGTTCATAATTAAACGCTACAGTTAGACTCTAGATTGTGGCACCTTGAGATTGACATCAATGACTTTGTCAAAATCATCCTCTTCCATCTTGAGAAGGAACTCATCTTGAGTGATCCCGGCTGCATTCACACACACAGAGGCCGGCTGGAAGTAGCGGCACTGTAAGAGAACATTCTGGTTTATTATTCAACAACCCCTCAGAGCTGCAGAAGAGCCCATGAACAGCACAGACACATGTCTGTCATACCTGAATACTTGTCACTAGGTTCTCGACACTGTCCTTTGAGGACACGTCCACCCCAAGAGCCATGTGATCCTGACCTTTGTGGTCACGTGACAGGAGTTCCAAGGTCTGATTGGCTGATTCTTCATTGCGGTCAGCCACTATCACAGAAGCACCTTCAGTGGCAAATCTCTGACACACTGCCCTGCCGATGCCACTGCCACCCCCTGAAACAAAATCACCATGACGGCTTTATTAATCAATACATTTTACATGCAAAAACGTATACCATCCAATACATTTCCTTAAACTTTAGTAGAAACAAAATTACACATGATGCCCCAAATATTGCACAATGCTACAGTGTAACATTTAGTCTTATTATGTGTTATGTATTCCATATACAAATACTGAAGCTGTGTTGCATTGTACAGACTCAATCTTTAGTTTAAATAGTTCTAAACATGATCAAAACAAAGGTGTTTTTACGAGCACTGAAAGTGAACGGCAATGTTAGCTGTATGACTTGTATAACAATCGTGTTCAACTATAAAATTGTATTATAACTTAAATTATACAAAAATATATATGGCCATTAAGACAAATAAAATATTTTTAAATCTCACCCGTCACTAATGTCAGCCTGGATATGAGACGAGAGGACGACGCCATGACGGTCAGCTGTGTGTTGAAGTACCTAATTATGTCCACTAGAGGGAGTTAACGACCACAGATATTTTTTCCCTTGCTTCACAGTCATGAGTGGGACGACGCAATTTGTACAGAACAGATGTTCTTCTTTAAGGATTAATGAATAAAATAAAACGAATTCGCTCACATTTATCTCGGTAAAAACATTACTTTCTTATATGAGTGTATATATATTTTAACGGGAACGTTTTACTGTTGTTGCTACTCGATTTCAATGTCAAGCACATATAAGCCTACTACACGAGGTAAATGTTTATTTTGTTATTCATGTAGTCGCTAAACAAATGGAGAATGTGAGCGCTGGCAATAGTAACCGACTGCAGAACCAGACGCTCAATACTGACCACAAGAGAGCAGAAGTGTACAACTGAAGAAAAAAAAGACCTGCTGCGCTAATGTTCAAAATACATTTAATTCTAGAGCAGTGGTCAAATACTGGCTTCGATAAAATTCCAAGGGACCCATCAATAAATCTTAAACAGTTAAAATACAGTATAGTTATAATTTTATAACGTTATAGCCTATATCAGAATCAGAATGAGCTTTATTGTAAAGTAGCCTACACACACACGGAATTTTTCTTGGTGACAGAAGCTTACAGTGCACAGAAAGAATGGCAACAAAAAGAAACTGATAGATTTGCAAACGTGCAAATCTATAGGGATTGAGTTTTATTTTTAATGATCTGGTGTTGAATGATATAATTTAGGGTAGAAAAGCTGCAGAAAGTAGACAATATGTACAGATATGGTCGAATTATAAAAATATATAATTACATTATTTATTAAATTTATATTTATTTTATCATTTTTATACTTCTATAGGCCCACATCTCATTTTTTACAGATTTTATAAAATGCGTAAACTACAAATCGCTTTATTTTTTGTTAATTGAATATGTTTGTTCCTAGATGAGATGCTTCAGGAGTGATAATGACTGAATAAGCTGCACACTGCACCTGCTCTGAAACCCAAACCTCTGCTGTGCGTCTGGGGAAATAAAGAGAACAATTAACGACGCTCCCTTGTGTCTGTTAGAGTAAATGCAGTCAGTGTTTTCTTTCTGCAGCTTTTCTACCCTAAATGATATCATTCAACACCAGATCATTAAAAATACAACTGAATCCCTATAGATTTGCATGTTTGATACAATTTTATGAACTTATCTGATACATTGTTGCAGTTTTGAGGATTTTTTTTTGTTGCTATGCTTTGTTTAGAGCACAAGTCTTTGATGTGCAAATGATTCAGAGGCAATCAGGCATAGGTAAGTAAAAAAATATATTCTTTATTAAAATGAGCATAATCTACAACAGGGAATCAAACATTTACACATCCATGTAAAAGCAGAGTTGATTTTCATCAATGGTTCAACCCTTAACATCACAAACTAATTTCAATGAAAAAGGCGCTCAATTGAGGGGAAGGGAAGAGAAACCTATGGGGAAGACAAGAAAAGTGTTTACATCGTTTCTTTCTATCCTGGATTATCACTCCATTATGTTATGATCAGTAGTGGTAGACTTTTACCTCTGTGCTTGCGTTTGTAATAGATGTATGCAGCAGAAAAGGCCGCAATAAGGCCGAGAAGGAAACAAAAGCAACCAACAGCTAATTTTGCAATTCTGGTATCGAGGGAGGTCGAGTCTGAGCATGAGAAAAGACCAAAGAAAGAGAATGAACAGCAGGTGACAGACACAAATGACCTATTGTAAGAGTTCACATGCAAATCAATAAACCAACAGTGCATGAGAGCCATCTGAACATCATTACGTTGAAATGCAAGTGCATTGTGGATGTTACTTTTGGGAAATTACTACAGTAATTCCAACATGACATCAGTGCAACATCAACACAAACATCATGCAGTAACATTTGCATTAGTGAGAAAAATAAGTGGAAGTGTCGGAGAGTAGTTTTAGTTTAAGTTAGTAATTTATTCTAGTGTGTAATTTTAGTGCTTTAAAGGACTAGTCACTTAAAAATGAAAATTCTGTCATCATTTACTCACCCTCAAAACTGTATGCATTTCTTTCTTCTGGTGAAAACAAAGGAAGATATTTTGAAGAATGTCGGGAACCAAACAGTTGATGGACTTCCATAGTATTTTTTTTTTTCCTACTATGGGAGTCAATGGGGTCCATCAACTGTTTGGTTCCTGACATTCTTCAAAATATCTTCTTTTGTGTTCAGCAGAAGAAAGAAATTCATACAGGTCTGGAACAACTTGAGGGTGAGTAAATGATGACATCATTTTCATTTTTAAGTAACTATTCCTTTAACTTAAGTGCTTTAGCTTTATTTCAATAAAAAGTAAATATATATATAATATATATATGTTTTAGTTGACGTTAATTACCCTGTGGTCAGTTCTTCTGCATGAATCATGAGAAGTTGAAGATTGTGGCAGTGTGCTGTTCTTTTGTTCATGGATCAAGTGATCAGCACCAACTACCACTGGTAAATTCCACCAGTCATCTAAACAATGATTGATATACAGTATTACAGTAGCTCGCGATCTGAACTCACCCCACTGAACGACGAGAGGTTTCTCCAGGCCGCTGTGCTCCACTCGGCAGCTCACACTGACTCCTCTGTGCAGCACCAGATCCAGGTGTGAATGCATCTGGTACCTCCAGTCACCATTATCCATGAATTCAGTGGAGATCACGTCGCCAGTGACCTCCGATCCGTCCAATAGCCAGGTGATATTAATGGCCTGTGGGTAAAAATTGTATACATGGCACACCAGGGTGGTCAGCTGACCGTAATGAGCCTTCTTAGTGGGACGTACGGTAACAACGGGCGGCACTGTTGAAAAAAAAAAAAAAAAAGGATTCCACTAAATATAACCTGACCACTTCAGACTATCTCAACTCCTTGATTTTATTTTTCATTTCCTTAAAATGCCATTATGCTGAAGAAGAATGTAAAATACATTGTTTACCCCTTCTCCTTGTGCTGTTGACATAGAATCTTGCGTCAGCTCTGCACAGTGTCTCCAGCTCCTCCTTCCGCTGTTTCATCTTCCAGCCCTGACTGTTGTAATGATCAGCGTTCTTGATTCCATATTCATCATAACCAACATATTTCCCCAGCCTCGAGTCATAACTGCACATGAGCTTCTGGTTGAAGACCAGCTTTATTATGTAGACCATATCAGACAAATCCACTTTGCCATACTCGCATTCAACAATGTTCTGATACACATAAACATCTGAAGGGAACAGACAGATATTTGAATAAAAGTCAGTATATGCCAGTTAAGACATGTTCTTGAGGGTTCAATACATCCAGAAATCTGTGCATATTCAACAATGAGGTCATTTATTTTATTTTTCTGCAATTTGTTCCCTAAAATGGTTCTGAGCATGTGATTAAAATAATTTATGTATAGTATACCACAAGTTCATTTTATAAAGTATATACTCAAGTAAAGTTCAAATATATAAGTAGGCTATACTTTATGTAGTAAGTATATAAGATCCATGTACAAGTAAGCTTGTAAGTGCACTATTTCGATTGACACTAAATTGGCCCACTTTTTAGTATGTAAGTATATGTTTAAGTGTAAGTGTAACAGTAGTAAACTTATTATTATTAACAGTAGTAAACTTATTATTAATGCTATTTCACGCATTCTGACCTATTAACACCGTTAATTCTCATGCTAAACATGGCCAAAGTAAAAAAAAAAAACTAAAAAAAAACTAGTTGGACGTATGACAACTTTTCTGATTCATAAAGGGCGGAATTCCTTATGAGCACTTCTCCTGGAGAGTTGTGCAAGTGTGTTTGTTTGTTCCCACCATTTCGGTGACGAATGTTTTATAAACAACGCCCAGTTCAACGCTGGATTTGCAGATTTTCGTTTGAAACTGAAAGATGGAGCGGTCCCAGCAATAAAAGATCCCGGTCATGAGTCGGAAGCGCAGGCGGTAAGTAAAACTGCATCAAATATATTTTGTTGGCAATCATAAACAACACGAATGTATAGTGAATCAGACGTTATCCAGGGATAATGCAATGATGCATTGTGTGTGTTTAAATACATTTGTTTAGCTGACCACCATAAGTATACTCTCCATTTGTTTGCTCGTGACTCTTTAGCTCCGCCCACGGCATGCCTCCAGGAGCTCCACTGTTTTCGGGAAGAAGTGGTACAGCTGGATCTGTCTTTTATAAATCTGATATAAAGACTCTTTGGAGATATGAAGAATGCAATACTTCTTTATAGGTAGGCTATACTCAAGATTAACATGAGATTGGCAGAAACTGTGTTATGTCCCCTTTAAGAAAGTACACTCAAGTATAGCCTACTCTCAGTAAACTATTGGTAATGTTAGTTTTATACTGCAATTATACTTGTAAGTTTTCTTTAAGTGAACATATCATACTTATAGTTTACTATTTATTTATATTATTTTAGCAGGGCCCCAGGGGTACCATTCATAACTTCTGAAAATGAAAACGGTAAAGATTGCGTACCATACTGAACTGTACTGCAGCCTATACCGCTCTCGAGGCATACTACTCTTTTAGAAGAAAAAAAAAAAGCACCCCATACTGTATAACAGTGAAAACACTGATATTCGAAAAATTCAGTCGGGGAAGGGGTAAAGTAGATTTGTAAATTCCTGTACACTACCAGCTAGCCTACATATACACACAAAAATCTGATTTTCAGAATTAGGAACATATCTGTTTTCTTTAGAAATAAATATTTTTTAACAATATAAATTTATAAGACATCATGTAAAACTATGTGGAAAAAAAGTATTTAAAAGACTACTTAATCGAGAGATTACACACACCTACTACAAGCCAAGTACACTTAGTTTAAGAATATCTAGATCAAAAGATTGAGGAAGTAGAGCAAGTATACTTAGTCTTAGTCAATTTTAAGTATATTTCTGAGAAGTACATAAAAAGTAGACTGAAAGTACTGTACTTTCTTATATTTAGTTTAAAAGAAGTATAGGCCTACTAATAGCACACATGAATAAACTTCTTTTTTGTATGGGTAGTTACCGTAAAATGGTGAGACTGGCCCTACAAGTCAGTCCTGTCTTCATATATCAGTAATTTCAGAGATTTAAACTCACCTTTAGATGAGACACAACAAAACGCAAATCCCACTAGAACAAGTCTGAGTCTGAGTGTCCTCATCTCAGTGTTCATCTTCCAGTGTAGGAGCAGTGCTGTTCCAGGAGAGTGTTTGAAAATCAGTCTAAATAATGAAAGCATTCATTCGCTTCCCTGCTCATGGATACTTCCTCATAATTTAGTATCAGTCACCACGGGACTCAGAACAAGAAGTACACAAGGCCTGTAAAACACTCCTTCAACTTTTTTGTCTTCATCCAAAAACATTTCAGTGTAAAGGAAAGCTAAAGATCTTCTAAAATATTATGTTCACACATCATCTATAAGGAGTATTCAGGGTGATCAACTACATTATATAACAATTATTAATATCTCTGTTCAATAACTCAATGAGCTATCCTCTTATGTTACCCACATATGAGATCCTAAACTTACCTCAGCACACTACAGGCTCTTTACACAACACAATGGGGACTTGTTCTGAGCGTCTGCCATTGAGATGAATGGGAATGCTGCTAACAAATGGTAATGCTAATAGGTGTTAATGACTTCCTGGAGATATTCAGCATTAAAAAGTCGCTAATCAACCATGTAGGAAAACATATCATGGCCATATTCCAGGAGATTCATCGGGCTCAGATTGTGAAAGAATCTGGAGTCCAGATCTTATATTCATCGAAAGTCTTTGGGATGTGCTGGAAGACTTTGGGATGTGCACTTTACAGAGTGCTTACTCTTGCATTGCTAATACAATATTTTACATAAATCTTTTGTTTAAATAAACTTTTTGTGCTTTTTGGCCGTTCATTTACACGAAAATAGCGTTTTGTTGGCCTGAAAATGCACACTTTTGAAAATGGTTTTCAACGAGTAAAAGTTCCAGTAGCACCTCAATGCAGTACATGAGATCCACGGGGAGGAGTCGGATCAAGATCCAAGGGGTGGAGATGGGTAGGATTAGGGGTGGGTTTAGGGATTAGGGGTGGGTTTAGGGATTAGGGGTGGGTTTAGGGATAAGGGGTGGGTTTAGGGATCAGGGGGTGGAGATGGGTAGGTTTAGGTCAGGGGTAAGCAAGTTCGGTCCTAGAGAGCCGCTGTCCTGCAGAATTTAGTTCCAACCCTAATCAAACACATCTGAACAAGCTAATCAGTGTCTTCAGGATTACTAAGGCTATAGGCAGGAGAGGTTTTTTTCAGTGTTGGAGCCAAACTCTGCAGGAGAGCGGCTCTCTAGGACCAAACTTGCCTACCCCTGGTTTAAGTATATGTAAGGTGGGAGGAGTTGGATCTGAATCCGACTCCTCCCTGTGGATTTCATGTTCTTGCGGATCCATGTGAACGGGGATCGTTTTGACGACGTTGTCATCTGTATGTGAAAAACACAACTTTTTAGTACATTGCTGTCGTGTAAACATCCTAATTTTGTTCTTTTTCAAATTTATAATTTACGTTTTTTTATACTGTGCTTTAGAATATCAAAAAACGCCCTTCAACTTTTGTTCTATAGCCTATACATATATAGCCTATGTCATGACTCATGTGGGAGAAAAAGGACACCCTTTTGAATTGAATTTATGTATCAGGACATAATAAAAAATCATCTGGTCCTTGACAAGTCTTAAAATTAGGCAAATACAGCCTCAGATGAACAACACATGGCATATTACACCATAGTATTTATTTTTACAAAAACTAGTCCAGAATGGAAAAGCCATGGGTGAAAAAACTAAGCCGAGCTATGATATCCAGGGTAATGTCGGCATATATCACCACGTCCACATAGGGCAAACCACATCTAACAGGAGTAACAGTGGACACAAGAGGAAGCTAAAAGGGATGTCAAGGTAAGGATTGTATCCAAAAAATAATCACGGTCTGGCTGCTATAGCCAAACCTTTGGTCACTCGTGCCAATGCCAAATGTTGGTTTCTGTAGTGCCAATCTTGGGCTGTGGACAATGTGAAACATGTATTACTCTCTGATCAGTCGACCTTCACTGTCTTTCATCCGTGAGATTTACAGTGTGAAAAAGCCCCATAGATGCTTAACAGCCAGACTGCCTGCACAGTCACCAGACCGAAATATTTTTGAGGCACTTTGGGTATTTTGGAGGAGCAAGTGAGAAAATGTTATATATATATATATATATGTATGTATATTGGAACAGCCTTTGGCCTGGACAGAACATTCTATACTGCCTGATATGATGCAGTTAGTTTCATTGACAAACTATCATATTTATTAATATTTTCAACTAGTTTTTATTATGTATTATATTGCCATTTTAATTTTAGTTACAGTTTTAGTAATTTTGTTGTTTCAGTCATTATTTGTTTATTACGGAGCCCCTAAAGGGACGCGGTGGTGGAAAAAATTTAGGATGGGAGAATTTTTTTTTTTTTTTATCTTTTGCGTTCCCTCGCAAAACGTTTGCGTTCCCTCGAGAAACTTTGCGTTCCCCCGAGAAACTTTGCGTTCCCTCGCAAATATATTTGCGTTCCCTCGCAAAGATATTTGCGTTCCCACGCAAAACTTTTGCGTTCCCTCGAGAAACTTTGCGTTCCCTCGCAAAGATATTTGCGTTCCCACGCAAAAGTTTTGCGTTCCCTCGCAAAGATATTTGCGTTCCCACGCAAAAGAAAAGCTCGGACAGACACGTTGGCAGTGGTTCAGAAAGCTCCGTATGCTCACAATGGAGGGGTTTATAGAGGTTTATTTTGAACTTGGACTCAAATACAAAGATATACAGTCAGTGCTTAGTTCGAGGCACGGTTTTGTCACAAGTGAAAGACACCTGAAAAGGATATTACGCGAAAGAGGATTGTTTCGACGAAAATATTACTCAAGCTTAGCGGACCTTGTTGATTTCATCCGTAATCAACTGCAGTTCTCTGGGCAACTTCATGGGTACCGATGGATGTACGCCAAATGCAGAGAGAAGGGTCTGCGTGTGAGAAAGGAGGATGTGCGCTTGGTGCTGAAGGAACTGGACCCTAGAGGAGTTGCAGTGAGGAGAGCCAGACGTCTCAGGCGGCGCAACTACTTTGCTAAGGGACCCAACTTTATTTGGCATTTGGACTCATACGATAAGTTAAAACCGTATGGCATTTGTATTAATGGTTGCATTGACGGCTTTTCTAGGAAGATTATCTGGCTTAATGCATACACAACTAGCAGCGATCCAAAGCTAATAGGCAGTTACTATATTGATGCGGTGGAGCGTTTGGGAGGATGCCCAAGAGTTGTTAGGGGGGATCTTGGAACCGAAAATGGTCATGTTAGAGACTTTCAGCGTTTCTTTCACATCACTCACGCTGATGAAACTCTTGACAGCTATTTGGATGGTGCAAGTACTGCCAACCAAAGGATCGAGTACTGGTGGGGGTTTCTGCGCAAGGAATGCATGGAATTCTGGATTTCCCTGTTTGCTCATCTCAGAGACAACGGATACTTCAATGGAGAATTCTTGGACAAAAGTTTGCTCCAGTTCTGCTGCATGGGACTCATCCAAGTGAGTGCAATGGAAATTATGTTTTGATGCTTGCTTCTATGTGTGTGTGTGTGTGTGTGAGAGAGAGAGATAGAGAGAGAGAGAGAGCGTGCGCAAAATTATGTCATTACTCGCGTCACATTGTTCCAAACAGGTTACACATTAACGCAGTATGACTAAACTTGTTTTTTTGTGGATAATCAGTGCAGAATCCACCATCTTGTTTTCCTTAGATGTCTGGATGTTTGAAACAATGAGACACTGGGTAAATGAAGGCATAATATATATTTTTTAAGTAAATAATTATATTAATTCAAATTTATTTTATCATTATTATTGTAATGTTTTACAGGATGAGCTGGATGACACTGCACAGGTTTGGAATGCACACACTATTAGGCCATCAAAGAACATCAGCAACCCCAGTGGTCGGCCCAGTGTGATGTATGGACTGCCTGAACTTTATCTCACCAGAGACTTCCTCACCTCAGCTGACACTGAAAGTATTAAAATTTGCAAGAATGAGTGTACTTTCCGACGCCCCATACCATGCGATCCAGATGTAAATGAACTGTGCAACATTATCATTTCTGACTCTCATTTGAACCTTCCAAGTGACCCATATCAAGCTGTGAACTTATACATGCATTTAAGAGATGTGATCAGGGCATTACTGTAAAAACTACAAGGTCCTTTTTATCTGAAACGTGTTTATAGTCTGACTTACATTGTATTGTATTGTATTAAGCTTACATTGTAGACAATACTGTCCCCAGGGGCATCCTGAAATGTTGTAGAAAGTTTTTATAAAGAATTACAATACATGAATTTCATAATACATGAATGTCATAAAAAATGAAACCAACATGTGTAAAATTGTTTGTTTACAAAGTTTATAAATGTACATAAAAGCTATTGGGGAAAGCTGTTTATTTCACACACATTTGAACCTGTAACACCATGTAAACTTTGTATTTAAACTATGGAATAAACAAAGAGGTTAAAGATTCAGAGAACTTTCCTTACCAACAACCAAAGTTTTATTGCATAGAATGGAAAATATTACAGCCATTTGTTAACATTTCCAGTATATTTTCAATTAAAACATTACACTAACAAATAACAATTTATCAGTATTAATGGCTGCAGTGATGTACTTTCAAAGAAAAACCTGACCACTTGTCTGTGGTTGAATTTTATGTAATTAACAGAAAAAGTTGTTCAGAGTAATTTTTCTGTTGAAGGGTTGGTCAAAATCCCTTGCCTCTTCAAATACATATATAATCATATATCATTTTGAATGGTTATATACTTCCTTAATAAAAATCAATAATCAAATATATTCATTATCACATAATAATTTTTATATTCTTGTGCTTGTGAAATTATATTTTCTTAAATGCATGGATGTAAGTAACCAGTTTCTTTTAGGTGCATTCCAATCTTACTTTGAGATTGCACGTAGTACACGCAGGACACGAAGGCCACGTAACCCACAAGGCCGTTTGTCTCTTTCTCTGGGATCAGTAGAAAGGTTAGAGGGTCCTAAAGGCAGCGTGGGCACATATGATCCTTCGCTGGACATATGGTCAAGCTATATTGAGCGTTACTATCAAACTTTAATTGTTGTATTAAAATGTATTCTTTCCAGTATATTTCCTTCCTTGGGAGTAAA